GTTTTTATTTCAAATAAATTAAATCAATTTTTAAAATATATATATATAAGAATAATTTTTATTTTATTTTCAATTAGCTAATAGTAGAATATTATTCATTTTGTTAATTATTCAATTTAAATATTGTAATATATTTATTTAATATATTATATAATAATAAATAAATTATATATATATTTAAGATACTAATTTAATAAATAAAGTTAAATTAGATTTTTTTGTTGTTAACTATATTACTACATAAATATACTGTATTTTTATAATTCATATGATGATAATAATAATAATAATACATTTAATACAATATAAAAAACTTTTTCAAAAAAAATTAAATTAAATTCTAACTTAGATTTCAAAATAAATAATCTAAAAATTTTATTTTACTATTTTGTCTATTAATCTACATTTTTTTATTAGTATTACAAATCATATTATCATGGTTGAATAAAAATTTGTATTATAAACTAATGGAAATTTATCTATTTTATTTAATACACAAAAAAATAATGTTTTTATTTTCTATCATCAATTCAATAAATTATTATTATTATCCTATTTCTATCCATACATATACTTTATATATATATATTATATATACTCTCTCTCTCTCTCTATATATAATACAATTAAATTGTCAACCATTATATAACAGCCAATAAAACTAATACTACTAAATATGTAAATGATTTACGATATAATAAAAATATTTATTATTATTATTATTAAGTAATAAACCAGAATATTCTTGTGAACCACTTTACTTACATAATAAATATATTATTTATATATATATATATATATATATATATACTGTATATTTTGCCTCCTATTTTATATGTAAGAGTTGTAACCAAAAAAAAATTATTTTTGTTATCACTTTATTCAACTATATATAAACTTTTTTTTTAGATTGAATATAATTTATACTTAATATAATATACAATATATACAGTATATATCATGTCATTATCTATCATATATAACAATGTTTGTTTGTCTCAATGTTTTTATGTATGTTTAGCCAGTGAACCAAAAATTATTGAATTATATGTAATTTGTTATGTATTGACATCTAAAAACAAAAATATATACAATATATATATATATATAGTGAGTAACAAAATATTGTCTATAGTATTGTCTTTAATAATATTGCAATAATAATATCACATTATATCAAATGGACTATGATTTTGATTTAATAAATTTGTTTTTATCATATTATATATATATATATATATATATATATATATATATATATATATATATATACTATTATATAGTGATCAATAGATTTTTCTACATATAATCTATGGATATAACACTATGATATCAATTGATATCAACTCTCATGTAATCATTTTATGTAATCATATATGTAATCAATAAAAAAAACTAAAACTAAAATAATCTCTAACACACACACAATTAGCTTATTTAAAAATATCAATTATTAATTAGTATTTAAAAAATACTAATGTTAATAATTAATAATATTCAATTAACAACACCTGTGTTGCTAATAATTGTTATGTAATAATTAATACCTTAATTAGCTAAAAGTTATTATAAACTAAATACAAAACACAAAATAAATTAACAAATAAAATATTATCAATAAATAAATTAATCAATAAAATAAAATCATAATAAAATTTGATTAGATTTTTTACTTAAAAATATATATAAAAAGTTAATAATTAATTATTTTGTTTTTAAAAATAATTATTCTAATTAAAAACGTAATTAATATTTTGGTCATTAAATAGATATTAATAGATAATACTATATTAATATTAATAATAATAATTATTATTATTATTATTATTATTATATTTCATACATATTTAAATATATATATTTCATAACTTTATTAAACTGTACTAAAAAACGTAATTAAAAATTTTAGTTATTATTTTTAAAAAATAAATTTCTAAAATAATGATATAGAAATATAAGATTATATATATATATAGAGGTATAGTATATATATATATATATCACTATCTGTTAATATTATTATTATTATACAGGTATTATAATAATAATACAACTGATTAATACATAAAATTTGACATTTAAAATATGATACGAAAATATTAACGTTATTTCCTAATTAATGTTATCTAAAAATAACTTAATTAGAAAATAATGTTTAACTTTTTTTTATTAATCATAAGTTTATTTGATTTAGCTATTTTATTACATACACATACACATACACATACACATACACATACACATACACATACACATACACATACACATACACATACACATACACATACACATACACATACACATACACATACACATACACATACACATACACATACACATACACATACACATACACATACACATACACATACACATACACATACACATACACATACACATACACATACACATACACATACACATACACATACACATACACATACACATACACATACACATACACATACACATACACATACACATACACATACACATACACATACACATACACATACACATACACATACACATACACATACACATATATATACTGTACATATACAAATTTATTCACCCGTATAAAAATCTCCCTGCACAAATTGCTTAGGAATTCATAATATAGAAATGCATTCCTTTTATTTTATATAGAAATTAATTTATTTTTTATCATATGATTTACTATAACAATATAATATTATCCAATTATATCAAAGTTATAAGCATTATATCAAAATAATTTGTCTATATTTTGTTGTTGTTATTATTTCTAATTTTTTGATTACTATACTCATTATGATTTTTATTACTAGAAATAATAATTTTATTTAATCATAATGACAATCAATGTATCATTACATACAGTATTTGTTATAAAAATAATATTATTTATATATGAATATACTGTATATTAATATATATATATAAAATATATATATATATATATATATATAGTATATATAAATCTTATAATTCATATTTAAAAAAATATGGTGAAAATATTCTGAAAATTTATGCGATATTTTTTTAAAAATTATTATTATTATTTTTATTAACCAAACTATTATCACTGTTTTGATTGTCTATTTAAAAAAATAAGTAAAATAATTGATAATAACTATAACAAACAAAATACTGTATATAATAGTCAATCGATATAATAATATTTACATAACTATCACATTCCTATTAAAAACATTAAAGAGTTATTTTTTAATTAAAATACAATATAATATTCATTTACTAATATATATTTATAGTAAATTTTATAAATTAAATATATGTATATAAAGTATATATTTTCTATCACATATTAATGACATACAAAAAACACACATAATATCATATTATAATACATATAATATAGATAATCAAATATATATATATATAGCAAGTAAATCAAATGATTAAATTAATTTTATATTTATCATAAAATAGCACAAATTATGTGCTTATATTCATTGATTATTTATCGTTTAGTCATTAACTTCAATTTAGTCAATTACTATACAATTAGTGTTACTGTTATTATTGTATATTAATGTATAGTTAATTAGTTCACAGATATCTAACGTTTATGTTTGGGTATGTGTGTGTGTGTGTGTGTGTGTGTGTGTGTGTGTGTGTGTGTGTGTGTGTGTGTGTGTAATGTACAGTATAATTACCAGTATATTACTCGATTAAATTATAAATACATTTAAAAAATTGAATCAATGTGTAGGTGTAGGTCAATGTGTAAGCTCTCTCTCTCTCTTTTTCTCTCTCTCTTTCTCCCTCTCTTTCTTTTTCTCTTTCTCTCTCTCTCTCTTTTTCTCTCTCTCTTTCTCCCTCTCTTTCTTTTTCTCTTTCTCTTTCTCTCTCTTTTTCTCTCTCTCTTTCTCCCTCTCTTTCTTTTTCTCTTTCTCTTTCTCTCTCTTTTTCTCTCTCTCTTTCTCCCTCTCTTTCTTTTTCTCTTTCTCTTTCTCTCTCTTTTTCTCTCTCTCTTTCTCCCTCTCTTTCTTTTTCTCTTTCTCTTTCTCTCTCTTTTTCTCTCTCTCTTTCTCCCTCTCTTTCTTTTTCTCTTTCTCTTTCTCTCTCTTTCTCTCTCTCTCTCTCTCTCTCTCTCTCTCTCTTTCTCATTGCATTACGTAATGGTAATAATTATGCATTATGTATGTAGGTGTAGGTCAATGTGTAAGCTCTCTCTCTCTCTTTTTCTCTCTCTCTTTCTCCCTCTCTTTCTTTTTCTCTTTCTCTCTCTCTCTCTTTTTCTCTCTCTCTTTCTCCCTCTCTTTCTTTTTCTCTTTCTCTCTCTCTCTCTTTTTCTCTCTCTCTTTCTCCCTCTCTTTCTTTTTCTCTTTCTCTTTCTCTCTCTTTTTCTCTCTCTCTTTCTCCCTCTCTTTCTTTTTCTCTTTCTCTTTTCTCTCTYTCTCTCTCTCTCTCTCTCTCTCTCTCTCTTTCTCATTGCATTACGTAATGGTAATAATTATGCATCATATTAAAATATACTATAAATGTATATAGTAGTACAAACACACAAAATCACTTAAAGTACAAGTAATTCAACAAAAAATAAGTTATAGTAAATTATGTTATTAGATATTAGTTTTAATTATCTTTAAATAGTCATAAACATATATATATATATATATAGTATATATATATACTGGATATATTATTATTATTATAAATAACTATTTAATATATATAGTATACATATTTATATACTTTATTTTAAGAAGTTATTTATAATAATAATAATAATATTATTAATAAAAGTTATTTCACACACACACACACACACACACACACACACACACACACAAACAAACAAACAAACACACATACAAACACACATACAAACACATATACAAACACAAACACACACACACACACACACTCATAATGACAACTAATAATATTATTATATATAATTTACTGTATATATTAAAAATATATATATTCAATATATACAGTATATATATTATGTATATTCAATATACTGTATTAATAAATATAACTATTTACCTATATTTGATAATCTCGAAATCGGCCAACAAATGGTAGACCTGTAGGGGCATCCAGGATATGGCAAACACCATAACCACTACAATCAACATTTTGATCCGACGTTTCTTCCGTCTCAACAACGATAGCCGATGCAGTTCGCTATGATTGCCGACAATTTCTTTGCGCCACAAAAAACAACCGATCCGTACATAGCATACGCAGGTCAACAATATCGGTAGGACATACTGTGACATAAAGGTCACCAGTGTCAAACGTTGCCGATAGATATGCTGGGGTTCGGGATAGTCGGCCCGACATCGGACTATCGATCGCTGATGATGTATAGGTATTTCGATCAGTTCATTGTGCCAGCCGTGCGGCAGTGAGAACAGGGCGGCCAACGACCAGATAACGGCCAATATGTTGACAAACGGCCAGCAAAGCCGTTGTTGGTGTTGGCTACTGGTCCGCGAACATGGCCAACAAGTGGGCGATACATGCGAATTATAGATAAGCGATCGGTACCTTTCGATGGCTATGACCATCATGGTTATGGATGAACAATGGACAGTCGTACTCTGGATGAACGGTACCAGTAGACACATAGTTTCGCCGAATGGCCAATTATCCAGTATAAATCTGGCTATATTGAACGGTATATTGAGCACCGTTAGCATCAGATCGCTGACCGCCAGATTAACAATCAGGACGTTGGTTGTCGTACGGCTTTCCTTTAGATCGTATAGTACTTTACAAACGAGTAGATTACCGGCCAATGAGACAACTATTATAAGCGAATAGAAGAATACTAGTGCAGCGTTTCGTATGAGTTCCTCGGTATCAATGGGATCGTCACCACCACCGACACCGCCAATACCGCCGCCACCGCCGCCGTCATCGTCATTGGCGGCAAACCTCCAGTTCCAGTCGGGATCAGACATATCATTGTTCGGATCGATAGTAAAGTTGGTCATAAAGTAAGTAATATTTTGGTCGCCGCCTCCGCCACCGCCGCCGATGCCGTATAATTGACGAAAAATATTGTCAATGTTTTGAAATTTTATTAAAACACTTAAATTATTATTAGTATTAGTAAAATTCATTATTATTATTATTATTATTATTATTACTTTTTAAAAGATTTATTTATTTAATTATCAATAAATTGTTTTTTTTTTTTTAAAAACTAAATATAGTTTTTTGTTATAGTTATATATAACAGTTTATTTACTATATATATGTATATATATTTTTATTAAGTTTATTAAAATAATATATATATATATATATATCACAATCATATATTCACAGACACAATATTTATATAATATAACTGTTTTACAGTATATTTAGTTATAACATATAAAAAAAACTTTTAATAATAATAACAACAAAATTTGTTATTTTAGTTTTTAGACTGTTTTTGAATATTATGGGTTTGTCTATATTTTAGTTTAATAGTATTTTATGTTTTATTATTATTATTTTTATTATTAAAATGTTTATTTATGTTTTATTATCATAACAGTGTAGCAATATTATTATTATAACAGCACCATTTAACATTTTAATTAATATTTTATTTAATATCTATCAATTTATATATATATATACATTATTTATAAATATCAATATATACAGTATATATATATATATAGATATATTCAGAAATAATTAAAAACTTAAGCATTAAATTAATTACAGAATATTCTGTATTGAATATCAATATTCAATAGAAGACTACTTGTTATTCAATGTTTGAATTCAATGGAAGTATTTTTTTCCCCGAATGAAAATGCATTTAACATTTATTATGAATAAAAGATTAATAAACAAAAAATTTTTTTTTTATTTTTTTTTATTTTTTTTTTCAATGAATTGATTTTTCAATGAAAAAATTTGATACACTTTTAGTAGTAGTAGTCAGGAGTAGTATTAGTCTTGTTATGACTTGAATCGAAAGGAAGTGCTGTTATGTATGTATGTATGTGTGTCTGTCTGTCTGTCTATCTGTCTGTATGGCCAGCATTTGCGCGCACCGGTAGATAGTGTTTTCAATATAAACGGTATACTACTGTACATTATTTATATATATATATATATCGGGTACTATTGTATAGTGTATATTGAAAAACAAACTGTACCCACAAAAAAAACCTAAATTAATTAATATTTAATTAATAAATTTAAAAAAAAATTATTTTATGAATATTATTGATTATATAAATAATGAATAAATACTGTATTATATTATATATATATAATTAGATTGAAATAGACTTTTTTTAGATACATTAATTAATTAATTAATTAATTAATTTTTTAATAAATAATTTCCATTAACAAAAAAAAAATAATTTTAAACTAATTATTTATATACAAAAAAAACAATTATTTAATTATCGTAATAAAAATAGCAAATATTTTGTATTGAAAAAGTTATATTTGAAAATAAGCTAATTTTTTTTAGATAATTAAATTGGATAAAAATATTCATTATTTTTAATTGTTATCAATGCTAATATATTTATTTTTTGCTTAACTAATTAAATTTATTTAGTAAACTAGTAAACACACACACACAACATGTTTTTATTTTTTAAAAAATATATATTCAATACTATACTCTAAAATATTTTATTAATTTACAATAAATTAATAAAAAAAACTAAAAAAATACTGTAATTATGTAATTTGATTATTTATACTATTATAGTAACACTAATTAACTATATTAGCTTATAATTAACTTAACTAATTAATTAGTTAATTAATTAACAAACTATAGTTTTAAAGTAAATATATTTACTAAATTTTTTTTTATAATTTCAATATCATATAATAAATAATTATCTCAAACTTTAACTTAACTTAATATTTATTTATTTAGTTTTAATATCTAAAGTCTAAGTTTTAAAAAAAATTGTTACATTAAATGCATTAATGTATCACTATATATATATAGTTTTATTATATTATTGATATAAAGATTACTTTTAATACAATTTGATATAAATGTCTATTAGATTTTTGATAATTTTTTTTGAATTATAAAAAAATTCAAGTTATTTAATATCTTTAGATTTATTTATGAGATATATATATATATATCTATTGAAATAATTTGATTTATTGATAATATTAGATTAAGTAATTTTTTAAAAAATAAAATCAAATTTATATAAATAAAATATAATATGAATACATTTTAAAATATTTATTAAAAATTTTTTTATAAAAGAAAATTTACTATTGATTTTCTACTGTTATATATATAATGAAATTGAATAATATAAATAAATAAATAAATAAATAAAATATATAATATTACAATTCAGTATACTATAAAAATATCTAGGTAATTTAATTTAATACACTATTAATCTACTTGAAATATTTTCTATTATAATATTTATTACATATAAATAACTAAAATTTATAATAGTTTTATTATTATTTTTGTAAAATAAAGTTATATTTGTATTTTATCAACCATTATATTATTTATTTATTTATTTTTAAATTATATAATACGTTTTATTTTTTTCAATAATTTTTTTTTATTTATTATAAATAGAGTATTGAATTCAATAGTATTAATACTGATAATAAATTTTGTAACATTTGTAAAAATAAATATTTACTCATTTGTTTCTTATATAAATTTTTTAATATAAATATATTTTCAATTTTTTATATACTGTTTATAATGTATATAAACTTAATTTTATTTATAATAATAAATAAAGTATTTTATTTAAATTGTGTTAATAATTACTATATATTAATGTGGAATATATTATATAAAATTACATAATTGTATATAAAATATATTTTTATATATTAAAACACTATTTATATATATATAAACAAAATATTTATCCAAAAAAATATATATATTTATTAAATGATAACTTTTTTTAAAAAAAAATGTGTATATATTTTATATATAAAACCATTGGCTAACTAGTGGTACAATTTCGACATCCATTTCCTCATTAGTATCGCTTCTGATTCTTAAACTAATCGATTGGTTATCAATCAATTGAGACAATTGACGGATCAATTGGTCAGTCGATACTAGTTTATCGCCGTTTACTTGAATGATACTATCGTTGACTTGTAATTTAGATCTTTTTCAATAATAATAATAATAATAATAATAATAATTAGTAATTAATTAATTAATAAAAAAATCTAATAATAATTCAATGAAAATAACAAAAAAACAATTAACCTAATAGTCGGCGAACTGGCGGTCACTTCGCTGACCACAAACTCTCCATCAATGGTCTCGTGAAGAATAATACCCAACGATCTCTTCAGTCTTGTTGTGTACTTATCTAATCGTTTTTGTCTTAAATCTAGTGACGGATTATCCATATATTGTTTGCCATTAATAATAAACTCTTTAAGAAATAAAAATAAAAAACAAATACAAAAAATAATTATTAAAGACTGGAACCCTTACCCTTTAGGTCGTCCAGTTTAATGGCAATAGCTATACGATCTTCAATAGCCGAACAACAAACAGCCACAACTTGACCGCTGGCCGTAAATATCGGTGCACCTGAATAGCCGGGCATCGAATTAGCCGAATGACACAAATAGTGATAGGTTTGCGGCCACAGAGTGTTATAGAAGTGATGACAATCGCGGGACAGTAGTCCCGCAACCGATTGGGCAGCGATAACACCCGAACAGGCGCTAAACTTGAGGTCACCGCCCGAACCGATCATCAATACTGGTTCGCCGACATCGGCCGCGCTGGTGGCCACTGTAGCGGCCGCTAAAACGCCAGGTCGGACAGTGTCCAGCTGGACGAGAGCCAGATCGCGATGTGACTCTACGTACACCACTCGACCGCACACCGATCGCACTGGTCGGCTGGCCAGAGGTCCCGGTTGCTGAAGTAGTTTGCCGGCCGTTAGACCGGCGGCGGCTGAAAAAATGACTACCACACGAATGGCATCGGTAACCACGTGATAGCTGGTACAGACCAGTCGCCGATCGCCGATCGAGTCGTCTACAATAAATCCCGTACCCGCCTGATAGTGACGTCCAGTAGCTGCTATGCCGGTGTCGTCGTATCGGTTGATAGTGACCACCGATGGCATCGCTTGTTTGTGTACCGATTTTATCCAGTTTTTCTCGTTTTGGTCATTGTCTAACCGAACTGTTCTCATAGGCAACTGTCCCGTTAAGTGTTGTCTAACTGTGGTGTCTGTTGTCCGGCAATTGTTGTTAATTGTTAGTGCGGTTTGTTGTTTTCGGTTCATATAATTACCGGCAATTATTAGGGAAGTTGTTGTTGTTGTGACCAAACCGGTAATCCTATATAAAAAAAACATTATTACCATCTATTTTGTTAATAATTTAGATTTAATTAGATTTTGTTTTAACGTATAATATATTGTGTTTTTTTTAAATATATAGTAAACCTTGGATTTGTTGTCAATCTTTTAATTAAAATCATTAATAAATTTTTATAATTATTATTTATTTTTTGGATTATTATATTAGTTTCAATTCAATGATAGAGTCAATGATATCAAATTATAAATTAAAAAAATTATTATTAATAATAATAATGTAAATAAAATTATATTTTTAAAAAAATATATATACATATATTACCTGCTATTCACGTGAAAATATTTTTATTTTTTTTTACATTTATATATTTTATAAATAATTTTTTTAAAATAAAAAATGATAAATAATATTTTACTAGATTAAATATATGAAATAATTATAAAAAATTATTATATTTATTACATTACTTTTTTTTAATTAAAAAAAATCATTACAATATTATGGCAATTTTAAAAACAATTTTTTTTTTATAAATCTTAAACTAATGTGTTTTGTCGTTTTAAATTAAAGTTATAATAATAATATAATAATAAATATTTATTATTATTATTATATATGTAAATAATAATTACTGTATTGTCAAAAAACAAACAAAAAAAACAAAAATCATAATATTATTAAAATATATTAAATCTTGTTTAATATGTTTGCGGTGTTTATAATAAAAAAAAGCCGAAATTTTTTTTTGTTTTGTTTAAATGAGATGACAATCAAATGATGCAAACAAACAAATTAAAAAAATATATGTATTTTTTTCGATATTATTATTATTATTATTATTATTATCATTAGTTTTTGTTGACAATCAATCTGATCCTATCATCGACTAAACGCTTGGCTGGGAATCATATTTTCGGCTTTCAGTCGCTCGAAGACAGTGTAGGCAGTGTTCAGATCGAAACCGTTTTCTTCGAGACACTGGACGGCAAACGACCGATTCATTTGTGTGGCGTTCATAAACTGGACCAACACTTGCTCTTTGATCGGTGTTATCGTTGCCGCCGCCGTCGGCGACGGTGTCGCCACTATAGATGATGTTGCTGTCGGTGTTATGGCTAAACGTGAAACACCGGCTCCTATACCACTGTTGGCGCCCCATTTGCCGGCCGACGGTGACATTATCACATCGTAGACACTGCCGCCACTACCACTACTTTTCTGTAGATTAGTTGAACTATTGTTGCTATTGTTTTGAGCGGTTTTGCCATACTTTTGGATCTGCTGAACGGTAGCATTGGTCAACAGTAGCATATCGTTGACGATGACAAACCCGGAACCGTGAGGTACAATATAAAACGTACGACAAAACGCACGTAACGGTTGCTGGCGTTTGATTAGTTCGTGATAGACGCCGTTGACTACGACGATCATAACGGTTTGGGTGGCAAATGCGACATCAATGGTAAACGAATCGGGAACGTGTCGGGTCATCGGCATTTCGCACAGTGTCGACACGATATTGATTTTGCCAGTCTTTAGCAGTTTGTTTCGTTGGGAAACGTCTTTTACGTGCATCAGATTTCGCGAATCCTGGATCAGCTTCTGTATGAATTGGTGACTACTGTTTATGGTTGGGTACGGGATATAATAAAAATAGATTTTAAATAAAACAACAACATTTTTTTCTTCGGGTGATAACACAAACCTTGCGTTAAGCCTCGATATGCTAAACGAAAAGACTGCCTGATCGTGATAGGCCTCCAGCAGTGGCTGCCTGTCCTCGGCATCATAGATATTATAGTAGGCTTCAAAAAATCCAAATATAAACTGTTTGTTGGTGTCCGGCAGATAACTTTCCTAATTTTTTTTTTTAGGTGAGTGCCAACAACAACAAAAAATACAAATTATCAGATAATTTACACACAAATTTCGGTAATAATACTAATAATACCAATATATATATATATATAATTAAATACAAACCCGTATTTCTGGCAAATTTGCCGTTTCTTTAACATCGAAACCGATAGCTTGTGGTAGCTCTTCATTATCCTTCATCACAGATAATATAATTAAATATTTTCAACAACAAAAAAAAACAGATAATTAGTTCAAATCAATTAGTTTAAGGAAATATATATATATATATATATATATATATATATATTGTTATTAATTTGGATAATACCTACCATTTTGACCAGTTTTGCAAATCGCGACCGAATACAGCTGAAGATAATTGAATTGAAGTGTTTTTTTTTTGGTTATATAAATAGTATGGTATGGTATGGTATATATATAGATAGTCAGCATCAGTAGTGGTGTCACACAGTCAGTCAAAGAGAGAGAGACACACACATAAAAAATCAAATGAAAAAAATATTCAATTGATTAGCAAAATATTCATTGATTTTTCAATTTTCTAAATCAACTAAAATTTTCATTAGATTTTATAATAAAATATATATAAAGATAAACAAACAAATAAATCTTTTTTTTTTTAATTAACACATAAAATATTCAATGAAAACTAAATCCATATTATATTTTTTAAACAATTATTTTTTTGGGGGGGGGAGGGGGTCTATTTTGAGTCATAACCACCACCAATCATATTGTTTGGCATTTTGTTTTTGATCTCTTAAAATAAAAATACAGTCTTCAAGTCCTTAATTCGTGTGATTTTTTTTTTAATAATTTTGTGGTCAATTGAAATATTACGGTTACCACCGGTTTTCTGGGTGTTTGCCGACAGTCCCGCAACATTTGGCCAGAGTTTATACACACACATAGCCAATGAATCCCTTTATTTTATTTTTTTTAGATAAAACAAATGGGCCATAATTTCAGACCACACTGTCCTCTCTCTCTCTCCAGAGGGATGTCCATTGGTTTACTGTATGGTCAAACTGTTGGCCTAATGAATGCGGCGCCGCAACCCATGTGGTGTAGTAATAACCACCTCTTAAAAGAGGGGACATACATATCGTACAGACACACACACACACACATCCACGCCATCATTGATTCAATAGTCTCTCTCTCTCTCTCTTTCACTTCAATGACCACAATCTTCACAGACTGATAGACTGATTTTGGATTTATTTTTTTTTAATATTTCATCAATGATTTGATCAATCAATTTGTTTGCCACCACCTATTATGACTCAAAATATATGCGGTTTAATAAATATATATTTTTTAAAGTAATTTGAATGGGTTAGGAAAGGGGTGGGTGTGGAAAGTCTATAATTATCACTGACTGGTTGATTGAGTTTTCATATGTGTTCATCACAGACACACACACACACACACACACACACGTAGAGACATCCATATCCATAGCATTCACACAACAGCGTGAGTGACAAAAAAGCACATCTAATAGATCTCTCTCTCTCTCTCTCTCTCTCTCTCTCTCTATAGAGTAGATAATGGACATCCAATATAGCCTAACCTGATATAAACGGCCTGATCCTCGAATGTCTCGCATACGGGATTGCCTTCCAGTGCCAGTTCGATCAGTTCCAGTGCCTTAATGTGGTCCAGTTCAGTGACATTTCGTATCTGATGTGGTCAACAAAAAAATTAATTATTAATCAATCACTGAATCAATCAACTGAATCAATCAATTACCTGATTTGCCGACAAATCCAGCGCTTTCAGCGAATCGCACGAAGTTCCGAGTTTGACCAGCGGTTCCAGTGAACTCAGTTTATTGTCTCGTAGATTAAGGGCCACAATCTCCGGTGTATTATCGATAATAATCTGGACAATCTGATTGAAGACATTGGGTCGGGCCAGCGATACATAGAGACCCAATTGTTTCAGATGGATATCGTCGCGCAGTTTCTGCAGATCCATCACACGGGTATCCGGACTGTACCGTACACTCATCACTTGTTTCAATATGTTTACCAATTCATCGTCGATCGGTGTCGGCGGTATTGCCGAACGGTTGGTCAATATGATTAGTTTGTGGCCGCTCGGTGCGGTCAGTTTGCGGCTAAACGCTCGCAACGAATCGGCCGTATCGACGCCGAGCACAAAAAATACGGCACCACCGTTTTCCATACGAAACTAATTAAATCGGTAATCGGGAAAATGGTCATTTAGTGGCCACTGAACAATAAAAAATCAATAGTTATACATACGTTATACGGTGTAAATGTCAATTGTGTCCCATCGACGATCAGCTGCAACAGTTGCTGTCTGTCCATTTTGTTGCCGTGCGGTATCTATAGTTTGGTGGCCAAACACACACACACACACAGACAATATTAGTGTTAATAAAATCGGAAATCATCGGAAAACAGTTGTAGTGATGTCATCACCGATGATGATAATGACAACAACAACACATACATGAATCCTAAACCATTGGCTGTCCGGGTCGTCATAGTTTTGATTGCGATCGCCTGAGGACTGATAATTACCGCCACTACCACCGCGACGACCACCACCACCACCACTGCCGCCACGATTGCTGTTCCAGCGGTTACCGCCGCCACCACCACCTCTGAACTGAGGTTTTGACCTTTAAAAACAAAGTTATTAGTATTCACTGTCCACCACCCGATCATGATTATACTACTACTACTACTAACCAATTGGCAAAACTTCGGTCGCCTCGATCGCCGCCACTATCTCTACCACCGCCGCCGCGACGCATCTGACCACCAAATCTTTGTTGGCCACCACCACCACTACCGCCGCCGCCATCATCGCGACCGCCAGTCAATCGTATCTGTCGTTGTCCTCTACTATTATTATTGTTGTTGATCCGTATATTAATATCACTGCCGTCGGTCATATCATGTCCGCCACCACCACTGCCGCCGCCGCCTCCCGACTCTTGCGATGACCACTTATTGTTCACATTGTTACGGCCTTTCGGGCCATAGCGGGCACGATATCGGCGCGACATATCTGTCTCTCGTAATGACCAGACTTTTGTTTAGTTAATAATTAGTTAATTAATTAATTAATTAATTTTTTTGGTTAAAATCAATTGAAAAACACGTTTTTGTTTTGTTTTGTTGTTTTTTATACACAATATATGATAACTAAACACACAATTAATTAATTAATTAATTATTAAATATTATTATCGATTAAATCAATGTATCGTTTTGTTTACAAACAATAGTTTAATAAAAATAATAAAACATTTTTTTTTTGATAATTAATAACAAAATATTTGTAAATAAACTGTTTGTTTGTTTTCTAATTAAATTAATTGTCTTTTAATAATAAATGTATTAATAAAACCACACATTGATTGCCATTGAATACTGTAATACATTATAATAATAATAATAATAAATACACACAAAAAAAATAAAATTTACGTTTATTTTACTGTTGTTAGTGTTTTAGAGACGTTCACATATAACGTTACATTGTATTTAAAAAAAAATAATTTTTTTTATTAGTGTAATATATAATTTTTTTTTTTAATAGCCATAAATTATATTTGTATTATAATAACTATTAAAAAAATGTATTTATAGATAAAACAAAAAATATTTTATATAAATTAATTATCAATATAATAAACTTTTATTTTAAATACAGTTTATGTAAGTATTGTTGTTATATATATATATATATATACTGTTATAAAGTTTATTATATTGATAAATTTTTTTAGTTATTAATATTTTTAATATGTATATATATATATAATTAAAATCACTATGATCAATATAATCAACATTTTTATTTATTTATTTAATTTTATGTTAAAAATTATTTACATTAATATTTAGTTTATTATTTAACAACAACAAAAATAATATAAAGTTTTAATATATATATATATAATTAAAATAAATTTGAATTAACTTTATTGTCATAAATTTGTTTTATATTTAATTATATATTAGATTATATACAATATATGTATATATATATATATATATACAAAAAATTATGTATAAATAAAATATGCAAATTTTAATAGTATACATTTGTTTTAATTTTGATTTTTTATTAATTTAAATATATTGATAATAATTGATTATATAAAAACTATACTCAAATTGCGTGTATTTTTAATATAAATTAAATTGATTTTTTTTATTATTTATTAAATATACAGTATGTCTAAATGACATGTTATATATAACTAAGTAAATTGATAATGAAATATTATTAATAAAATATAAAATGCTTAAATCAAAAAAAAAACAAAATGTTGACATAAATTATTATTTGCATTAACAAAAAATATTTATGTAATTGTTAAGTAATATAGTAATATTTATTTGCAATTATAAATATTATTTACTTTAAGGCTTATATTTTAATCTATAATATGATTTTCTAATTAAAACTAATTTTTAAAAATACATTTTATCTATTTCATTACAGATAGAAAAAATTTAATACATTGAAGTTTTTTTTAATAAAAATCAGTAATATTAAAACATAATAATATATATTACATATATATTATAGTTTTGGTAGCTAAGATTATATAATTGGTTAGTTTAGATCAGCCCATGCATGACATACCACACCTCCCTCTCCAGCTATATAAGAGTCAACCGACCCTAACTCGGGGTCTTGATATTGTAGTCGTCTTTTATAATCGTATATGTTTTGTAATAGTTTTTTTATTTCGTTTTTAACAGTTTTTAGTACTTTTGTACTGTACTTATTTTGTCTAAGTTTTATACTTTTGTATTAAGTATTTGATTTTGATACTCAACAATAAAGTAATATTATTTGATAATTAAAATTGTGTGGTAAATAACAATTCATACAACTATACTGGTGCTGGGGAAAGGGTGGCGCAAGAAACGCCAGTACCGACCGGATCGGCCAAATCGGCCAATCACTTGGGTGGGACAACTGGATGTGTTTGAAGAGTGCTCTACATTTTGACGACCAGTTGTACGGCCGGTACAGCCTTCACAGCCGCTAACCCGAGTTCGGTGCAGCGCTCGTATACAGACATATATTGGCAAAATATATGTTATGTTGTATTTGGTGGAGATCGCAGTGGTATCGATTTTATAAGTACTTTTGCATTAACTAACTATGGATTGGTATGTCTTTTTAATTTTTATTTTATTGATTATTAAATTAATGCAATTGTGTCTAAATTAATACGCTATGTTTTTATGCTTTGTGTTGTTTATAATTTCTATTGAGCTAACAGTATTTAACTTAATATATGAATTTTGCTATTTTAAAAGACCTATACATATAGATATCCCAATAAATGCCTCAAATAATATTGATTATTCAGTATAATTGTAAGGATTAGTTTAATTACCAAAAAAACGCATAATATTCACTATCATTACTGTAAACATTAACTTTAAATGTTACAGTTTTAATGGGTTTATTGCTGTCAAAATTCTTTAAAACTTCAAAAACTGAAACACTATTGAATAGAGAATATGTTTCACACATGTTATCAGTGAAACCCACGTACGGTACAGTAGAGTTAGACATTAAAGAAATTAGATATAATAAACAGTTAGATTTATTTGTTAAAATTGAGTAAAAGTAGTTTCCAAAAGTTTGAAAAAGTAATTAAAAAAGTAATAAAACACAAAATAGCATTAAAATAATTACTATATTACATAAAACAGCAATAAAAATGCCCATAAAAACTAGAAAAGCTCGCTCTCGTAACACATCACAGTCACTCACTAGGAGTGAAACTAATCCCACAGTTAACACAGTAACACGAAATTCAAATAACACTATCACACAAACAGATGTTTTAACACCAGAAAACAGTCTTAATGTTAATAGTAGTGGTTTAACTGAACAAAATGAACCATTAAATCAAATAAATGGCCAAAATGCAAGCAATAATGTCAATCCCCTAATTGGCCAAAATGACCAAAACAGTCAAACTAGCCCACAAATTGAAAGCAATAAAAATAATTGCCAAAATAGATCTATGGGAACAAATTTAAGTACTGTAAACAACAATTTAAATAATGTTACAAATATTACCAACAATACAGAAAAGCCTAAACCCAAAAGTGAATTTAGATCAATAATTACTGTCGGATCAATTACACCCCAATCATTTGATGGTAGTAATGACATAGATGATTGGATCGGTCATTTTATTTATGTGAGTAAATGCAATAACTGGAATGATGATATGAAAAAGCTTCGATTACCAGTTCACTTAAAATCCACTGCAGAAATGTGGTATAAAGAATTTGCAAAGCTAGACATTGATAGCAATTATGAGGGAACACTCACTTTATCTCAGATTTATGATGGCTTAAGAGAAGCTTTTAGACCAAAAAATTATAGATCTATTTATCAATCAAATCTCATTTGCAGACACCAAGGTCTAAGTGAACCAGTAGCAAACTATCATTATGATGTTATACGGTTATGTAATAAAATTAATCCAAATATGGAAGAACAGGATAAGATAACTCATGTAATGAGAGGCTTAAAGTCAGGAATGTTAGAAAAGGTTTTAGTATTTGAACCCAAAACTTGCATTGATTTGTTAAGAAAACTCAGAAGTATTGAAGAGTCTGAAATACTTGCCTCGCAGAGACCCACCTATAACTATTTGCTATTAAATGACCCGAAAAACAGTACTAAAACACCAATATCTGTACCAAATAACAATAGGGACATTAATCTAAGTGCAGATGTCAATCCAAATACTTTGACCAATTTTGCCAAATCGGCCAACGCGGCCAAGGCAGACTCAAAATCAGAGATAGCCCAATTGTGTGAATTAGTAAAAAGTTTTATGATAACACAAAATAATAATAACAATTATCATAACAACAATTATAATAACAATAATTTCCGTAACAATAGTTATCGTAACAATAACAGTAACAGGTTTCAATATAGGCGTACTGTTGATGGGCGTCCCGTGTGTGACATTTGTCATAAACCTGGACATTTTGCTAAAACTTGTTATCACAATAAGAGTAATAATACGGAGCCCAAAACTGTTGTTAATGCTAAAGAAAATAGCAGTTCGGGAAACGAGTGATGGCGGCGGTCATCACTAATGCCGTCGCCGATACCCACTGTTATATAATCAATATTAAAGATATGCATTTAACAATTGACGGCTATGTAAATAAAACCCCATATATTATGTTAATTGATACCGGATCCGCCCGGTCTATTATTAGTAAAAATGAATTTAATAAATTCAAAAATTTAAGTTTAAATTTATGCTCTCACCCTATATTAAAACTAGCCAACGGTACTACAATGGTACCGGTTGGCAAAGCTAACTGTACAGTTTCAATTGATAAATATAATTATTTAATCGAATTTATAGTCTATGATAACCTACCATTTAATGTACTTTTAGGTTTAGATTTTTGTATCAAATCTGAACTTAATATTGATTTTAAGCAAATAAAAGCTAATTATCAAAGTTTAGTAGAACTTCCATTTTATAACCATAATTTTTATAATAATGTAAATAATGATTGTAAATTAAAAATAAAATCCAGTACTACTATACCTAAAAATTGTGGCCGATGGGTTGAAGTTAACGCTATAAATAAACCTAGTAATGATTTATATTTTGAACCAAGCGTTGAATTTCAAATCAAATTTAATTTATTAATTTTTGACTCGCTAATCAAATATGAGAATAATAAATTATTTGTTTTTATTATCAACACCTTACCATCAAATGCTTTTATAAGAGAAAGTACTACTATAGGTACAGTTCAAAATGTAGATAATGTTGAATTGCTTACGGCAACCCATAAGACCGAAACGGCCAATTTTGCTAAATCGGCCGATGCGGTCAATGATACCCAAAATAATGATTCATTTGAATTTAATATTAACAATAACTTAACTGTTGAACAATATAATAAAATTAAATGTTTTTTATTAAAATATAATAACATTTTCGCTAACTCAATCTCTGATATCACTAAAACCGATATAATCACACATAATATAAAATTAACAACTGATGATCCCATTCATCAGCCACCATATAGGGCCAGCCCGAAAGATCTCATTGTAATGAATGATCAAATTGACGAAATGTTAAAAGCGGGTATAATTAGAGAATCAAATAGCCCATATTCTAGCCCTGTTGTAATGGTTAAAAAATCAAATGGACAGTTAAGGTTTTGTTGTGATTACCGTAATTTAAACAAAATAACCGAAAAAGATAGTTATCCTTTGCCGAGAATAAATGACTTGATGACAGCATTTACCGGTTCTAAGTTTTTCACAACCCTAGACTTCATTTCTGGTTATTGGCAAGTGGCCGTCGAACCAAAAGATATCCCTAAAACTGCATTTATAACACCTAATGGATTGTATGAATGGGAAGTAATGCCATTTGGTTTGACCGGTGCACCTGCTACTTTCCAACGCATGGTTAATAAGCTAATAGCGGGTTTAAGATACAATACATGTGTCGCCTATTTAGACGATATAATAGTATATGCCCCAGACTTTGACATACATTTAGACCGATTGGCCCAATTGTTCGATAGGATCGAATTGGCCAACTTAAAACTTCAAAAACAAAAATGTCATTTTGCTAAAAATGAAATAAAATTTTTAGGTTGGATCGTAGGATCCGACGGTATAAAACCTGACGATAAAAAAGTATTAGCAATTACTAATTTTAGATCACCTAAAAATGTTAAAGAAATTAAGAGATTTCTAGGTATGTGCGGTTATTATAGAGATTCAATGAGTGAGTTTAGCAAATTAGCTTCACCGTTATTGAGATTATTAAGAAAACATGTACAGTGGCAATGGACTATATTAGAGGAAAATGCAGTAAACAATTTAAAAAATTGTTTGTCCTGTGCTCCTGTACTCGTACATTATGACCAAAATTTAGATGTTAGACTTCATACAGATGCTAGTTTAGAGGGATTAGGTTATGTATTATTACATATAATTGAAGGCAAAGAACACCCAATTAAATATGGTAGTCGTTCACTAAATAACTGTGAAATAAATTAAGCAACAACCGAATTAGAAGCGCTCGCAGTATTTTTTGCAGTTATACAAAACCGTCACTATTTGTTAGGAAAATATTTCGAAATAGTTACCGATCACCACTCCCTGTGCTGGATGTTCCGATCTAAAAGTCCGACACGACGGATAGCCCGATGGGTACTTGAATTAGCTGAATATGACTTCAAAATTGTCTATAAATCAGGTGCTTATCATTTAGATGCCGATGCACTCTCGCGATCGCCTCTAAAATTAACTAACGTTGAAATCGGTCAAATTGGTCAAAATGATCAAACTGGACCAAATTTTGATGAAATGTTGTTGAACGTAAATGACATCAATTTAGTTGAATTGCAACAGCAGGATGAATGGTGTAAGAATGTAATTAAAAAGTTTGAAAATATTACAAACAAACCCCAGTATATATCTGGAGGAAAAAGTTTCGAATTAATAGACGGTATTTTATATCGAAAAATCGATAATGGTTTTGGTCCTATTTATCAATTATTAGTACCGAAAATATTACGTAAAGACATACTATATACTAACCACAACGATCCGGTTAGCGGACACTTAGGAATTATTAGATGCTATGCAAAAATGAGGGAAAAATATTACTGGAAAAAAATGTTTCGGTCAATTAGTCAGTATATCAATCAATGTATAGATTGTCAAACAAAAAAGAAACCGCAGCGGAAACCTATAGGTTTTGGTCAGATAATGGACACACCTGTCATACCTTTCTCGACAATTGGTTGTGATCTTCTCGGTCCATTCCCTCTGTCTTACAATAATAAAAGACATATAGTCGTTTGTACTGATCATTGCACGCGTTATGTCATCACATGTGCACTTGAGGACAGTAAAGCTGAAACAGTTGCTAATTTTATTATTCATAATGTAGTACTTATATATGGAGCACCTGCAGTCATATTAACTGATCAGGGAAAATGTTTCACCTCAACTCTAATGCAAAAATTGTTTGATTCATTTGATACAATACATTCACGTACATCTAGTTATCACCCACAAACAAATGCATTAGTTGAAAATTTTAACAAAACGCTAGCTAATATGTTATCCCAATATTGTGATTACGATCAAAAAAATTGGCCAGATAGTTTACCTTATGTCACTTTTGCTCACAATACTACTCCTCAAGAAACAACCAAATTTAGTGCCTACAAACTGTTGTTTGGTAGAGAAGCTAGATTACCGATAGACACCTTACTAAGAACACCAGTTATTAATGAGATACCAGAACTTTTTGAGCAAAATTTAGAAAATGCTAGATTATTAGCCAATACAAACATTAAAGATATGCAATTAAAAAATAAATTTTATTATGATAAAAAGAGATTAAACGTATATTTTAAAATTGGTGATAAAGTAATGGTATTCACACCGATTAGGAAACGTAATCTGAGTACAAAACTTTTACATCGAATGTTTGGTCCATTCACCGTAACAGAAATTATAACACCAGTAACGGTAAAAGTAGTTAACGTAGACTCAAATAGATCCGAAGTAGTACATACTAGTAGATTAATAAAATTTAATGAGAATTTTGAATTGGAAATTTTACATGAAAATGACTTAACTGTTGAGCCAGTGAATGATTGGTCAAATTGTCCAAATCGGCCAACACAGACAAATCAGTCTAAAGATCTAATAAAAAATAATATTAAAAAGAAAAAGAAAAAACCAATTGTCAAGTTAATTAATAAACAAAATACGTTTAGAAAACACAGTAAATATGGACGTATATTAAAAGCTCCTGATCGCTATAGGTCTGAAAAGTAAATTAAATAAAAATTTTAAATCAAATTATTATAAAATAACTATTGTTTTTAGAATTGATGGATCGATTTATTAAAATAAAATGTAATATATTGCCAAAAAAACTATTTGTGAGACGTTAGCGCTAAAGTCTGCACAATATAGAAAGAAAAATTAATGAATGAAATAAAAAATAAATTGAATGAAAAATAAATTGATTAGATAAGAAATAAGAAAAAAGTGCACATTTGAAAATAAATTATGAAAAAAGTGTATAAAAAATGAGTAAATTAGAAAAATTAATTGAATTAAAAAAAATTGGGTTAAAATTAAATAAAAGGCAATTGAGTTTAAAATTAATACATGATAGTTTTGACTACTGGACATATAGGTCAGTTTGATCGGATCGGCCGGTTTGGTCAAATTGTCATATTGTGCCCTAACATAACAGTCTGTATTTTAGTTTTGAAACTATAGTTAAGAATATGTAAATGTAAAAAAAAATAAGGATTAAAATAATAATAGGTTAAAAAAAATAATTTTGATTTTAATAATGTTGAATAAATAAGTAGAATTAACTCTAATTAAGTAATACAATTACCTTACAATTAACAATAAAAATAAGAAAAAAAATGCGATTGAGTTAGAAATTACAAAAAAATACAAAATAAATTACAGAATATAATCTTATCAAAATATTAGTTTTTTAAATAAAATGTAATAAATAATTTATATATCTATAAAAATATTATACCCACACACATACACATACATACACACACATACATACACACACATACACAAACACATACATACACACACATACACACGCACATACACACACACATATACACACACACACATACACACACATATACACACACATATACACACATACAACCACATACAACCGCATACAGACACTTACAAAAATAAGGTATACCATATCTATAACATATGTATACCATATGTATACCACATGTGTATATGTATACTATAAAAAATAAACCGCCCATGCAATTTATCAAATGTTATAGTGTCCAAGTATATGGTCCTGGTAATTAATGTGACTAGTGCTGGTCATAATAGTAGTATCGGTGCAGTGTATACTACTAGTAGAATGGGACCTATCTGTACTGGGTCATAAAAATACCAAAAGATATGATATTTATACAGATATATACGTAGAAACATAAATATGACATATAAATATAAAATTTAATGTTATGTAATAAAATTTGATATAATACTAATTATATAAATAAATCTACTTAAAACATAATTTTAAAAAAAAATAATATTTTATAAATTATATTTATAAATATATATATATATAATAAAATGCTACTCATAATGATGTTATAATCTTTTACTATATTCAAGTGTTTTTAATAGTATAAATTACAATAATTTAAATAACTACAAAAAAATATATCAAATAATCATTTAAATTAGTAATAACAAAATAAACAACAAATATATATACAAAATTTACTAATTTTATAACTATTTTTGTTAAACAAAAAAAAAGAAAATTATGTAACTAAATGATAAAAAATTAAATCACAAATATCTAAATAATCAACAAATTACACGATAATTGAATTATTTTTAAAAAAAATAATTTTTATTTAAATTATATAATAATCTTAGTTATATGTTATAAAATATTTAACCCATGGTAATATTGGCCAAATTGGCCATATCGCCAAAATTAACAAAAAAATGATTATTAATACATTATATATATATATATTATTACTAACAAAAGTAATTTAATTTTAATTATCTTTTTATTTACAAAAAAATACTTTTGACAAATGGATACAATAAAAAAAAATAAATATTATATTAAATCAATCAATAGATATATCAATGCAGTAATAATTTTGAAAATTGAAATGAAAATTGTGAACACAGTTTAATCAACCATTAGAACAATATAATTATTTTTAATTATTTTAATTAAAACGTTATAGAAATGTGTTAAAACAAATTTAATGTTAAATACAGTAGTAAATTGAATTAAAAGCAATTTTAAGATTCTATTCATTATGATATAATATAATAGATTTAACTAATGATTTGAAATTTCGCTGATATTTTTTGAGTCGGGTTATCCATTATATGGTGCTTCACATTCATATGATTGTGTATATCGTTAGTTGAAGCCTGTTTGACACCTGTGTCCAAGCATTGACCACAAATGGCACAACAGGGAGACCATTGTCGACAAAAAGCTATTAAATGTATTGTATTTCCGTTTTTATGAGTTTTAGTTCCCATATATGAAGCTTTTTGGTAGACCTCAAAAACTGTAACGTTGTCTTTCATTTTACCGCCATTAACCATATGGCCATACAATTGAATAATTTTTAAGTTACGCAATGATATGGATGTGAGATAACCTTCGGATTCGTTTATGATATCAAAATTCAACCCCCAGTTTACACCCAATTTTATCGCTCGGTTGTATGGAGACACCAGATTTAATCGGCGATCGATTTTATTTTCATGATTATTACACCAAACAGTCCCATTTAAAGTGACCTCTGCTAATGGGTCTTCATCGACCAGGTCACCATCGTTGGCAGCTTCAAAACTACCCGAACCTGGCGATTGGACCGAATTGACCGAATTGACCGAATCGACAAAATCTTCCAAATTGTTGTCTTCATCCAAATGATTTGAATTTGATATAATTTGTTCCCAACGATCACCAAATAGATCTGGACCAATATCACCAATGAAATTAGAACTAAATAATTATAATAATATCGTTAAAATTATTTTTTTAAAAAAAATGTTAATCAAAATTACACACAACTTATCTCCAAAATTGTTAAGTCTGTGATGACATCGGTTGGCTTCATCCGAATAACACTTTATTTGTGTCTTCAAAGACGTGATTTCATCCAATAGTTTCAAACAACGATTACATTCGTTTTGCTAAAAAAAATTTTAAGAAAATAATAATTATTTTTTACAAAATATTTACAACAAAATTCTATACTAAATACCTGAAGACCTGAATTCAGACGTCGGCGCTTAACACCACCGTTATTATCAATAGACTCATCATGTGATACATCCATCGGCAAATCGTTATCATCGAAAGGCTGACCCAAACTAAGTGGTGGTGAACACGACTGGCCAGACATCTGATTACTAGCCATTGCAATACATTTTGCTGTAGCGCTACTAAATCGTGTCATCCATTTTGCGGGATTGCGTATACAGTTTCCTAATTTATTTACGGCCAGTGCGAACATCTCTTCATTTAGTGATTCCAGTACCTCCGGAGTCGGAGATTCGGGCAAACCTACCGCCGATGGTCTACGACTGGGCGTCCTATTGTTAAAGATTAAAAAAAATAATATATTGTATAATCAGTCAAATTGGCCAAATCGATGAAACCAACAATTACTACAAAAATATATATATATTTATATACCGTAACTGATAGTTATTGATAGCGTCAGCAGCGGTAGTGTCCAAACACTGTTCGTCAGTACCGGTATTATTGTCTAACCCGTTGTCGGCATCACCTGCAGCCAAACCATTATCATCGGTAACATTGACAGCACGGTTAGATTTATTACCATAGTTGGGGTCGACCTCTGATCCTGTAATGGGATGTACAAGACCTGGGTTTGTGTAGACTGTTGTATCTTTAACTAGTGTATCAAAACTGTCGGTTTGCTTACTATTATCGGCACCGATATCAATGACCAGTCTGTGCTCATCAAACTCATTGTTTTGACCAAAACTTTGTTTAGTGACAGCATTTCCCGCGTCATCAATGCCTTCGGAAACAATGTGGTCATCGATTATGTCAACGGTTTTGTCGGTAACTGAGATGAGATCTTCTGGTTCGGCAACACTTTGGACAGTCGTTTCGGCCGATTGACGGTCGTTTTGACCACTATTGTCTCATCAATTGTGTCGGCAAACGTCTCATCAATTGTTTTCTCATTTTGATCGTGTGTTTGACCGCCAACTGATTGATCAAATAATATCTTTAAAAAAAACATTAAAAAAAACAATCAATAATTAGTTTAAAAAAAATATATTGTAATTAATAATAATATTAATGTAATTACCGATCGACTGGAATCCATTGAAAAGAGTCTAACAAACAAATATATTTTTAATTAATTTAAAAAAAATACTAATTATTTTTTTAACAAACAAAATAATTTGAAATTTTTTGGTTAAACATTATTGAAACTACAAATAATTTCAGATAAATCACGTGATCAGTGATCAACTGTTTTTTTTTGTATTGTTAACCAATCATGTGATCAGTAGCCATACAATACTAATATAGTATATAATATTTCAACTCTGACTGATTTTTACTAATTAGCTTATTATAAAAAAAAATTATAGATTTTATTTCAAAAAACTTTTTATAATATATAAAAGTTTTTTTTAGTAATATTTTATTTTACGTTATTTTACAAGAATTAGATTTTAATTTTAATTATAATCAAAATATCATATTATTTTATAATAATTTTAAAGTATATTTAAGGACTAAATTGGCATTTAATGTATAATTTAAATATATTAAATGATTGTCAAACTAAATAGACCAGGGCGATCAATTTGGCCAAATTGGTTAAATCGGTCAAACAGTTTATTTTGTGTAGACATAGTGTGCCCACTTCACCCAATTTATGTAATAGGTTTTTCACCTAAATTATTGGTTTGTAATCATAATTAAAGGTTTTCCCCTATTAATTAATAGTGGAAATAATTGTACTGATTGATAAGATAATTAGTATTAATTAAATATTAACTATATATATATATAACAACCTTAAATTTTTATAATTGTTTTATTGTAACGGTTGGCTTTTATTTAACTGTGGGGGGATAAAACATAATAATATATATTACATATATATTATAGTTTTGGTAGCTAAGATTATATAATTGGTTAGTTTAGATCAGCCCATGCATGACATACCACACCTCCCTCTCCAGCTATATAAGAGTCAACCGACCCTAACTCGGGGTCTTGATATTGTAGTCGTCTTTTATAATCGTATATGTTTTGTAATAGTTTTTTTATTTCGTTTTTAACAGTTTTTAGTACTTTTGTACTGTACTTATTTTGTCTAAGTTTTATACTTTTGTATTAAGTATTTGATTTTGATACTCAACAATAAAGTAATATTATTTGATAATTAAAATTGTGTGGTAAATAACAATTCATACAACTATACTGGTGCTGGGGAAAGGGTGGCGCAAGAAACGCCAGTACCGACCGGATCGGCCAAATCGGCCAATCACTTGGGTGAGACAACTGGATGTGTTTGAAGAGTGCTCTACATTTTGACGACCAGTTGTACGGCCGGTACAGCCTTCACAGCCGCTAACCCGAGTTCGGTGCAGCGCTCGTATACAGACATATATTGGCAAAATATATGTTATGTTGTAATATAATAGTATTTTAGACTAAAATTTTTTTTAATAATATATACAATTTTTATGTATTTAAAATTGTCTCCGATAATTTAACGAAAAACATTTTTTTATAGTATTTTACATACAGTTAACATAATTAACATTTAATTTTATAGATTTTATAGATTAAAATACTTTATACTTAATTAATTAATTTTTTAGTTAAATATTTTATTTAAAAGTAAAATAACTAAATTATTAATAAAAATTTCCAGTAACTTTATAAAATAATGTAAAAACTTTATATACTGATATATTCAATATATAAGTTTTTATTTTATTTTATATCATAATTTATGCATATCATAGTTTATGATTAAATATTTATAAATAAAATAAGCATCAATTTAACATTTAATTTAGTAATTTTAATTAATTCAATTTTTTAAAATTATATTTTATGTTTAAATAAATTTCATCATCATCCGTCATTTATTTTTTATTATTCTAAATTCTAATCAATTAAATAATTGTTTATTTTAATAATTTATTATTATTATTAATTTTATCATAAATTTCTTAAATGATTTATTATTTTAGCAAATTTTTATTATTAACAAGTTTTCAAAAATTAAATTTTAATATTTCTAGTTTGATATTAATTTTTAACACTACATGTGTGACATCTACTGTATAGTTGTATAGTTTAAACAATTTTATAGATTTGAAAACTGTTTGATAAAAAAGTTTGATTTAATTTAATTTAAAATAATAAAATAAAAGTTTTTATTATTTATACTTAAATTAATTAGTTTTTTAAAATAATGTTTATTTTAAAATAATAAATAAGTTAGTTGTAAATTATAATTAGTTTTTAGTTTTTTTAAAGAATAATTTTATTGAATTAAAAAATCATAATTTAAATCCATAATATTGGATTACAATTATATTTTCAAACATTATATTTATATTTTTAATTAAAACTTATTTTTAAATTTAGTTTAATTTAATATCTTTTGTTTTTTTTATTTTTGAATATTTTATTTATAAATATTTTATATGTTCAATCAATATAGGTATCAATATAATAATAATAATAATCCACAAATTAATTATTGTGTTTTTAATTAACAAAATGTTTTCAATTTTTTAAAAAAATAGTAATAATAATAAATACAGTAAAATATCATTATTATTATTATTTTAAAAAACTAACAAATAATCTACTAAATATTTATTATTATATATTTTTTTATTAATAATTATTATGTTAAAAATAAGTAATATATGTAATATTTTTATGTAATGTCTTTCATAACACATATTGCAAAAAAAATTGCTTAATTGATAATTAAAAATTATTGATAATAAATAAAAATTATTGTTAATTTAGTAATAAAAATTAATGAATATTTATCGTAAAATTATTTCTTAATTAAAGCTTAATTAATTACTTTTTTCGTATTAGGAAATTAAGAATTATTTAACAAAAAATTAAACAAAAAATATAATAATAATAAATTCTAAATGAGTTTTTAATATAAATAAATTTACAAAATAATTAAATAACTAAACATTAAAATTAAAATAATAATTTATTTATTTTTTAAATTAACACAGAATATGCTTATAAAATAAAAATTTAAGATATATAGAAAAAATTAACTAAATAAGTAACTAATCTATCCTTGCTCATTTATATAATTATATATTATATGCATTATTAGCTTATTTTTGTTTAATTAGATTTTTAATTTTAATTTATTAATATTTTCTAAAATACAAAAAAATTAATTTTATTAAATTTAAAGATTAAATTTACAAAATATTTTCTTTAAATAATAAAAACATAAAATTAAATAATAATAATAATAGATATTATTCTGCAATTAAGTTGAATATAATTTTTTTTTAATAATTATAATTTTAAATAATGCTGTTTAACAGTATTTTCATTGAAATCATAAATTAAAGACAATACGCTTGAATTACTTAAAATAAAATAATACAAAATCATTGTTATTAATAAAGATTGATTAATGATTAGATTGCATATTTATTTTATTTAATAAAATAAAACTAAACTGAAAATAATTTACATTAATAAACTTTAAAGTGTATATATATATATATATATACAGTATGTCTGTTTTTAATTTATTTTTGAAAATTTAAAGATACGATAAAAAAATATGTATAAAAAATAAGATAATTTTTTTTAGTCATTTTTAACTTAATCAATTTTTTCAATGCACAAAATGGCGGCCGAATTGTGAATACAAAAATAATTTATAAATTTTCCATAATCTTGATATATTAAGTAATTTATATTAGAAATTATTAATAAATTTCTAAAACAACTAAAATCTGAATTAACATTTATTTTTGTCTTGTAATAACAATTAGTTAATATTGGATAATTTTTTATGAAAATTTAAATAAGATATACAGTAGTTTATAATATATATATATATATATATGAACTAATGGTTATCAGCAATAAATATTTTTTGGTATAGTATGAACAATATTGACTATAAGTTTAAAATAATCTGACTTTAAATTGTTAATTATTCATAGGTTAATTAAAGTTTATATTTTGCAATGCTATCTAGCATTCTCAACTGGTATTCATTGGAATATTAAATCTCTATATAAAGCGGTAAAAGTGTTTAAATATATATATATATATATATATAAATTATTTTAGTATTAGAACTTATACAATGTTTTTATTATTATTATTATTATTATTAATATTTTTCTCTATATTATTATTTTTATTATATACTATATATTATCGTCGATTGCAATGTATGTCTGTATTGAAGAGAAACGGTATTTCGGGTCCAAAACCGCATTTGATTTTCGGTAATCTTTTCGATATTAAGGGAATGTCATCATTGAAACAAAAACAATATTTGATCGGAAAATACGGTAAAATTGTCGGTTTATATTACGGTTGCCGACCGGCAGTACAGGTAGTGGACCCGGAGCTCTGCAAACACATTCAAGTCAAACACTTCCAGTATTTTGTCGATCGACCCCATAGTCTATCCGCAGTCTTTCATCCGGCAATGAAAGGCTCAATACAACTGAGTCGCGGTCAGCGCTGGAAAGACATCCGATCGGTACAGACGCCGGCGTTCAGTACATCCAAACTGAAACAAATGTTTAAATCGATTGACGGGTCGATCGATACTTTTCTGGATATTTTGGCCAAAAAACAACAACAAAACATATCCGACACCAACAACAACAATACAAACGATTTCAATATCTATGCTATGTTTGAACTGTTGGCCGCCGATATTATCGGTCGGACATGTTTCGGCTACGAAACCAATGTCCAGACAATGACGGCGGACAATAAATATCATTTGTCTAACGCTCGGCCATCGCCTAAATGGTTAAGATATGTTGGCTATTGTTTCCCTTCAATGAGTCCATTGGTCAATAAGTTTTGCGATTTAGTTGATCTAATCAAACATCGGTTGAATCTTCAGCCAACCGGTCGACTATTGGATATGAGTCAAGATTTTATGGATTTTAAATTGAGATCAAATTCAAATCAAAAACGTAAAGATTTATTACAATTAATGTTAGACACTGTTAACAGTCAAACAGGTATTGACAGGAATTATAGCAAAAATAAACAGTCAATCAGTTTATCCGAATCAGAAATTCGGGCCAATTGTGGATTCAATTATTTAGCCGGTTCTCGGACTACGGGTTCAACACTCGGGTTTGTTGCGCACATACTGGTCAACCATCCGGATGTTCAGGAAAGGGTTCGGCAGGAAGTCCGGGAATTGTATGAAACTGATGGTCGACTCGATTATAATACGGTTACCAAACTCGAGTACATGGAGTGTGTAATCAATGAGACGATGCGTTTGTATCCGTCGTCTATAGATTTCGCGGCCCGAGAAACCATCGCCGACTACAAGTACTCCAACAATATAACTATACCGAAAGGTACGGCCATACAGTTTGCCACCTATTATATGCATCGCGATCCAGACTATTGGCCCGAACCGGAAAAGTTTGATCCCGAAAGGTTCAGTTCAGGTGGTAGTCGTCGGCATGAATGGCATCCGTACGCTTGGCAACCGTTTGGCAGCGGACCGCGTAATTGTCCTGGCGTTAGGTTAGCCTATTTTATGATGAAACTATGTTTGGCCAAATTGTTGATCAATTACCGACTGGAACCGGGACCGCGAACCGAATTGGGAGACATTGACTTAGAGACTAAAATAATTTTAATGTTTCCCAAAAACGGAGTGTTTGTTAAAGTAGTCAAAATTTAGTCAAAATACTATATATAAATACTAAAATATAGTAAACTTTACAAAAAACAGTATAAAGATTTAAAATTTATATTAATTTAGTATTTAAAAAAAAAAGTTTTATATTTTTAATACAGTTCCAAATATAGTAATTTATTTATTTAATTTAAATGCCTAAATCTGATATTCCCTTAATGAGCTTAAAAGCTTATTTTTTTTAAAAAAAATAGCCCATGTAGCTTAATATGTATAATTAAATTTTTTACCATGCTTAAATAAACTTATTAATATTTTGATTACTCATTTTCATAAATATTTATTTAAAACACATACTCAATGTATTTGAAAACTGTGTCATATTAAAATTGAACATGCTATAGTTCAATAGATAAAAATAAAATAATAAAAAATAGTTAACTTTAGCATTTTCAATTTTAATATGACACATTTTTCCAATACATTGTTTTAAATTAATATTTATGAAAATGAGTAATCAAAATATTACTGTATACATGTTTAAAAAAACAATATTTTCATAAAAATGATTATTTGGTTATTTTATTTTAATTTTCCAATTAATTATCATGGAATAGATAGCTAACAATTATTATATATACTTTATTATAGCTAAATTATATATATATATTTTTCAAAAATAAAAATTTAACAATACATTATTATTTTATTAAATTAATTAATTAATAATTAATACAAAATTTGTGTTTTTTGTGCACATATAATAATAATAAAAAATTAATTAATATAAACTGAACATGCAAATTTTACTAATAAGTATTTTGAATATACATTTTTTTGTGCTAATTAAAACTGTATCATTGTTTAAAGTTTTTTAAGTTAATTAATTAATTAATTATATTATTATACATGCAATTATATTAAAAAACATTAATCTAAAAAATGCATATACTTTAATTACTTTAAGTTTATATGTTAAATTATTAAACTTTTAGTAAAGTTTTTAGTTTTTCAACAATCATTATATATTACTAAATAACTAAATTTTAACTAAATATATATACAGTATAATGTCTTTATTATTATTAATAATAATACTATTAGTTTTCTGTATATTATTAATTTTATTATATTTATTTTAATTATTATATGTTATATTTAATAACAAACTATATATTGATATATAAACTGAACTGAGCAAATTTTATTTGTTAGTTTATTATTATTAATTAGTTATTAGACACAATTAAGTTAGATTTATTAAATACAAAATACATTTAATAAAACAAAAACAAAACTAAAATCTTAATCTTATATAAATATATAAACTCTAATAATTAATTAAAATATTTTCAATAAATTGCATTTATATATCTATAAACTGAACATGCAAATTTTACTAATAAATTTTAATGAATATACATTTGTTTTAATTTTGATTTATTAATTTTGCCAAAACTGGTCAAGGGCATTTTATCCAATATTTTTAAGCCACCCCTGAGTTGTTTGTTAACATCGACTCGTTTATTGACAAACTCTTTGATATCCCCGGCCTTATCGATGGCACCGGTATTCAGTGTAACAAAAGCCATGGGTATCTGAACGTACAGTTCGCTATCGATACCGATAACGGCCGCCATTTCGACGGACGGATGAGTCAATAGATGATTCTCTAACTCTATCGGCGATAGAGTTATTCCTAAAAAAATAATAAATATGAATATTATTATTAAATTAAATTATAAAATTAAAAAATATTTTAATATTAATATTTTTAATTAACTAATAATAATAATATTAATTAATTATTAATACCACAAAACTTAATAATATCTTTGATTCGGTCGACAAAATAGAAGAATTCGTTTTCATCATAATATGCCAAATCTCCGGACATAAAGAAACCATCGTTTGTTAAAAATTTAGTGAAAACATCTTTATTTCCATAATATCCTGATGTTAACTAAAAAAAATAAAATAAAATAAATTTTTATAAATAGTTTACAAAAAATTAATAAAATTGAAAGTAATTAATATCATATTTAAAATAAATAAATAATTTCTTTTTAGAAATATAATAGTGATATAATTTATATTATTTTAATTAATTTTCACTTACAGTCGGTCCGCGTATACATATCTGTCCCGTTTGATTGGCCGGTAAACTATTGCCGCTTTCATCGATAATTTTGACTTCCATTCCGGGAACAACACAACCGATATTATCGGCCGATGTCCACATATGTTGTCTACTAAATGGTTTAGTCATCACTAGGAAACACTCGGTCATACCGTAAGTTATAATAAACTTTTCTGAACCATATATGTGTCCGATCTGATCGTATAGTTGTTGGCTTACTTTTTGGCCAACAATACTGTAATGGCCAACTGATTGTAAATATTGTTTAGTATATTTGTCTGTATTGTTCAACAAATACAACAAATCATTGGATATGAAAAAACAATAGCTAACATTATATTTATTTAATATATTGAAGAACCAGTCGTGAGCTAAACTAATGTCTGGCGGATAACTGATGACAACCATTTGCCAGCCTAATACTATCGACTGAAACAAAACTTGTATACCTGCCCCGTGACAGTACAGTCGGCTTAGTATGATTTTGTCGGCATAGCTATCGGTTGGCGACATTACTTCCGGATGACGTCTAATCGATACATTGGCCAGCCATTGACGATTGGTCCAAATGACAGCTTTCTGGGCGCCGGTAGATCCGCTTGTCATTATCAATGTTGCCATATCGGACGGCAATCGGCTAATCGGCACAAAACTATTGTTATCATCGGAATCGGTATCTGATTTATTTGGTGTCGTATTTGTTGTTATGTTTGTTATAATATTAGTTATCAATAAATCATTGTTGTCTGTGTCGTCCGGGTAATCATTTTTAGCAATTTTTTTATGTAATAGAATTGTCTTTTGGTTATCAAAAAAAAAATAAAATTTAATTAAATAGTTATTTAATATTTTTTCTTATTTTAACAAAATAATTATTAACTATACTGTACTATAAAATTATTCAATAAGTTATTGTTGTATATAGTTATAAAAATAGAGAAATTTATAAAAATAATACTAATAGAGAAAGTTCTAGAAAATTTACTATATTTTACTTAACTATTATTAACTATTGTTAAACTATATTTTGTTATCTTGTATTTACAATGCATTGTTTTTACAATTAAAAATATTATTATTATTAGTAGTAGTAGTAGTATTTTAATTATTTAATTAAACTAACAAAAAAAATAATTAATTAAATTAAATTAAACTATGATATAATGAATAAAAATGATTATTATATATAATTATATTATAAATTATATTATATTTTATATCCCATTTTGTATAGTATGATGTAGTGTTGGTTAAATCAGATTTATTAATGAGAGATAATAATATACATATAATAATTATATTATACTGTATATAATATAATATGATATATTATTTTGTCTCATTAATATAGTACTACAACAATAGCTATAGAAATAGCATTTAGTATTATAAATAATTATCTATAAATTATTTAGTGATATAAATATAATACTAAATTTAGTAATTAATATTTAGTTTAATTTATATATATATAATTTATATAGAGTTAATATATAATTAGTTAGTGATTTATATAAATATTTAAACAGTGATTTAGTTATTACCTTGATGCTGTCAACATTTTGTTTCAATTGTTTTAAATAATCAACATTTCCTTCAAATCCAATCAAAATATTTGGTTTAATTGTTGAGACAGTAGTTTGAATTTCATCTATTAGTTTATTTATTACAAAATAATATTGCTTATAGTTAAATAAAAATTAAATATTATTTATATATATATATATATATATATATATATATATATATATAATTACTTTCAGTTGACGTCATGTCTAAACTAGTATAGACACCACCGGCTGCTAAAACACCCAAAACTCCGATACCGTGATAGTCATTGTTGTATGTAATCAAACAAACAATATCTCCCGTTTCCAGTCCACACTCTCGGCGCAAATATTGGCCAAAATTTAGGGCCATTTTTAATACCTGACCTCTTGTCCATTTGCGACCACTTTCGCTGTCAGTCTTATTCAGTTTAAAAAATTAATAATTATTAAGGGTTTTTAACTAAATTAATTAATTAATTAAAAAGATAATAATAATACTAATAATAATAATAATAATAATACCAAATAAAGTTTATCAGGGTCAGATTGTAGTTTTTCAATACATAAATCAATAATTGAATTATTAGTAAAGTAATTGACATCATTGTAATATTTGGATCGTATTATATATTTTGACTCCATATTAACAAAATTGAATTAATTAATCAAATATTTTATTTGATATTTTTTTCAAACAGTTTACACTGATTGGTAAAATGTTTTGTGTTATTATTATTTTATAGTTGAAATTTTAAAATTTAAACAAAACTAAATGATTACTAAATAAAATATAACTTATTAAATAAATAGTAGTCAAATTTGTTGATTATATCTACAACTAAGTCAATTAATTAAAAAAAAATAAATTAAATAAACTTCTAATTAATTCAAATCATTCAAAATTTCGTAAAATTATTTTTCCATAGAATGATTATTTATTTTATGATTTAAAATTTTTTGAAAACAATGATATGTTAAAATTTAGCAATAAAAATATATATTAAATATATATATATTAATTATTTAGTTTAATGTATGTACTTTATAATTAATATTTAGTGTAAGTAGTGTTGGCAAAAAAAAGAGAAATTTATAAAATAATAGAGAAATTTCTAGAAAATTTCTAAAAGAAATTTCTATTTATGGGATCCCCATGGTTAATTTTGTTTTCTCGATATTTGTTATCTTTAACATTGTTTTTATAATTAATATTTAAATATTAGTATTAGTATTTTAATTATTAATTAAAGTAAAAAATTTATTTATTTAATTATATTAAACTATGATATAATAAAATGGTGAATAAAATTTTTACAAAACTGATTATTATTAAATAATTATAATCAATTATATAGGTATCCCATTTGTATAATTTAGTATTATACAGTAATCTACATTTATATAGTATAATATTATATGTATAGTATTATATATGTCTCATTAATATATTTATAGTTTTACAATATCTATAGATATGGGGATCCCATAGTATAATAACAAAAAAGTTAAATTTCTATAGAAATTTATTCCTGAGAAATTTTCTAGAAACTTTCTATTTGCCTAAACTCTCTAAGTGTAAGTTAATAATACAGTAAATTAAAAATAAACATTTTTTTTGTTAATAAAAAATATTGCTAATAATGTCACATATATTGTATCTCAATATACTGTATATTATTACTATATATAATTAGATTTATAGTTATTCTTAGTATATTTATTTCAAATTTAATTATATAATTAATTATAATATTTAATTGTAAATTTTTACACAAATTATCTTTCATTAAAAAATTATTAAATCATAGCTTTTAAAAACAACTTTTAATTACAGTAACTATATATTAATTTTTATATAAATTACTAATCAATTTAAATTATAATTTCTATAGAAATTTCGTAATTTATTTAATGTTTTCTTTAAAAACTTGAAACAATGATATTTATAAATTTTAAAACTATTATTTAGTTATTTTAGCAAACATTACAAATATAATAATATAAAAATTAGTTCATTAAAAACAAAAATATGATAGTTTGTATAATTGAAAACTCTAATATTTTTAAAAAAATTTGTTTAGATTTCTAATTATTTAAATTTAATAATATTAAATAAATTACTATTTTATTTTATTTATTTATTGCTATAAATAGTTATTATTACTTGTCTATCAATTTTATCTCCTTTTCCCATAACAACTTAGGTCACTATTTAATTGTCAATTATATATATATATGAAATATAACTATATATATATTACAATTTTAATTTTATATTATTATTATTATTATCAAAAATACTATATATGTTACTATAGCTGTAGGTGTATTGAAAGTATAATGTATTTTAAATAATTTTTTTTTATCTTATTTACTATAATTGCATTACATATATTGATATATTTTTTACTGAACATAAACAAAAAAATATTATTATTATTATTATTATTATTAGAGAGAGAGAGAGAGAGAGAGAGAGAGAGAGATAGATAGATAGATAGAGAGAGAGAGAGAGAGAGAGAGAGAGAGAGAGAGAGAGAGAGATAGATAGATAGAGAGAGAGAGAGAGAGAGAGAGAGAGAGAGAGAGAGAGAGAGAGAGAGAGAGAGACACTATACATATATCTAAGTGTCAAACATTTTATATATATTCAAAATATTTTAAACATCATTCAATATTTTATCACAAGAAGATTTTTCTTATATTAATTATTAATTAAACGTATTATATATTTTGACTCCATATTAACAAAATTGAATTAATTAATCAAATATTTTATTTGATATTTTATTGTAGATTTTTTCAAACAGTTTACACTGATTGGTAAAATGTTTTGTGTTTTTATTATTTTTTAGTTGAAATTTTAAAATTTAAACAAAACTAATTGATTACTATTAATATTATTGTACTACTATTTAATAATTTGAAACACATATACATCTATATTTATAGTTTACAGTTTATATAGAAATTAAGTAAATGAAATTGATTTTTTTTTTAGAAATTGATTCAATGACATAAGCTTATTATTAGCAAAAATTTAGTTATTAAGTAAATATGATGATTGTTAAAAAAATAAGTTTCTTAAAGTTTAATAATTATTATTAAATATTGCACATAAACTTAAATTTCATAATCTTAATAATAAGTAAATTAATTACATATACTTACAATCTATTTGTTTAATACAAGATTATTAATAAGTTTAAAATTTTAAAATGATTTAACAAAACTAATAAAACACATTAAATTATAATTATAAAAAAATATTAGTCTAATACATAATATATTATACTCAATGTCTCTCTCTCTCTCTCTCTCTCTTTAAAAAATATTTAATCAATTATTTAAGTTATGTAAGTATCAATCAATTATTGCAAAAAGTTTTTTATTATTAAAATAATTTTTAATTAAATTGCATATTTTTTAGTTTAAATTAATATTATTTTTTATTAAAAAATTTTCAAAAAAAAAATTATTTTTAAATGATTTATATATATATATATATTTATATCAGTCAGTTTGTTAGCTAAAAGAAATTGTTAATACAGATGTTTTATTATCTTAAAATAAATAAATTTTATACAGAATATAAATTATGTATTAAAAAAGTAATGTTTTAAAAGTTTATTTAGAGTTAGAGTAATATCAAAAAAAAAAGTTCAATTTATATTTTATTTAGTAATCAATATATTTAGCTGAAATTTTAAAATTTTAAACTATAAAATAATAATAAAACAAAACATTTTTCTAATTTGTAATAATTTGTTTAAAAAATTTTAAATAAAATATGTGATTAAATTTTTTGTTTTGTTTAATATAGAGTCAAAATATATAATACGATCTAAATATTACAATGATGTCAATTACTTTACTAATAATTCAATTATTGAATTATGTATTGAAAAACTACAATCTGACCCTGATAAACTTTATTTGGTATTATTATTATCTTTTTAATTAATTAATTAATTTACTTAAAAACACTTAAAAATAAGTACAATTTATATTTTATATATTGATCAATATATTTAGCTTAAATTTTATAATTTAAATCATAAATTAAATAACTTTTCTATGGAAAAATTATAATTGAATGATTTGAATTAATTAGCAGTTTATTGAATATATTATTATTTAATTAGTTGTTTTAGTTATTTAAAAAAAAAGTTTAGATAAATGTAATTTATATTTTTTTATAATAAATATTTTGTTATTATTGTAGTATTGAACATAACTAATAGAAATATAAAAATAATATGATTAAGCATTTTACTATTAAAAGTTACCAAAAGTTAATTATATTTATTAAAGTTTAGATTTTTAATAAAAATTTAATTTAAGCTATCATAATTTTTGTGACGCATATTAATAATTTTACGAAATTGAATTAATTAGCAGTTTATTTAATATATAATTTTTTAATTAGTTGTTTTATAATAGTTGTATTAAAAGTTTATATATCTATCAAAATGTTATCAAGTTTTTTATAAATCTAATCAAATAAATATATAATTTCTATATAAACTAAATAATAAAAATATAAATTTATATGTGCTTCAAATTTATTAAATATTAATATTTATTAAATAGTATTCAATAATATTAAACACTAAGTTAAATAAAAATGAGTTTTTAATTAATTAATAATAAATTTACTTTATTAAATTAAAAACTTTAAAAAATTATACACTTTAAATTAGCACAAAAAACAGTATAAGTAAACTAAGATAGGTTAGATAAAAATTTTTAATAATATTTAATTTTAGCTATCATGTTTTTTTTATGACAAAGATATTATTATGTGCGTAATATTTTTGTAAGCAAAATTTTAACTATCATTATTTAAAAAGTTTAAAATCTTAAAATAAATTACAAAATTTCTATTAAAACTTTAAAATTTTACGAAATTAAATTAATTATAAGTTTATTTAATATATTATTTAATTAGTTGTTTTAGTTGTATTAAAAGTTTATATAAATCTAATCAAAAAAAGTACAATTTTTTATTTTATTTAGTAATCATGTTTTGTTTAAATTTTAAAATTTCAACTATAAAATAATAATAATACAAAACATTTTTCCAATCATTATAAACTGTTTAAAAAAATACAAAAAAATTTAAAATAAAATATTTGATTAAATTTTTGTTTAATATGGAGTCAAAATATATAATACGATCCAAATATTACAATGATGTCAATTACTTTACTAATAATTCAATTATTGAATTATGTATTGAAAAACTACAAACTGACCCTGATAAACTTTATTTGGTATTATTATTATTATTATCTTTTTTTGATTAATAAATTTACTTAAAAACACTTAATAATCATTTATTTTTTAAACTGAATAAGACTGACAGCGAAAGTGGTCGCAAATGGACAAGAGGTCAGGTATTAAAAATGGCCCTAAATTTTGGCCAATATTTGCGCCGAGAGTGTGGACTGGAAACGGGAGATATTGTTTGTTTGATTACATACAACAATGACTATCACGGTATCGGAGTTTTGGGTGTTTTAGCAGCCGGTGGTGTCTATACTAGTTTAGACATGTCGTCAACTGAAGGTAATTATATATATATGTATATACAGAATATAAATATAATTTAACTATATTTATCTAAAAATTAATAAAATATTAGATGAAATTCAAACTACAATTTCAACAATTAAACCAAATATTTTGATTGGATTTAAAACAAAATGTTGACAGCATCAAGGTACTTACTAAATATTTATATATATAAATCACTAACTAATTATATTTTAAAAATATATATATATTTTTATATATTTATATCACTAAATAATTTATATATAACCATAATTATACTAAACTCTACAAAATGGGAATAGTTATTATGGGAATATAGAATAGTTATTATATAATAATTAGTTTTATTCATTATTTTATTACTAAATTTTGACCAATATTTGCGCCGAGAGTGTGGACTGGAAACGGGAGATATTGTTTGTTTGATTACATACAACAATGACTATCACGGTATCGGAGTTTTGGGTGTTTTAGCAGCCGGTGGTGTCTATACTAGTTTAGACATGTCGTCAACTGAAGGTAATTATATATATATGTATATACAGAATATAAATATAATTTAACTATATTTACCTAAAAATTAATAAAATATTAGATGAAATTCAAACTACAATTAAACCAAATATTTTGATTGGATTTGAAGGAAATGTTGTTTATTTAAAACAATTGAAACAAAATGTTGACAGCATCAAGGTACTTACTAAATATTTATATATATAAATCACTAACTAATTATATTTTAAAAATATATATCACTAAATAATTTATATATAACCATAATTATACTAAACTTTACAAAATGGGATATAATATATAATATAGTATAGTTATTATATAATAATTAGTTTTATTCATTATTTTATTATATTTTATATCAAAGTTTAATTATTAATTTAATTAATAATTAAAATACTAATAATACTAATATTTAATTATTAATTGTAAAAACAATAACAAAATATCTCCATCGATAAACTTTCTAAACCTTTCTCTATTATTATTTTATAAATTTTTCTATATTTACCAACACTATATACAACAATAACTTATTGAATAATTTTAATAATAACAATATAGTAATATAATTATTAATTATTTTAAAAATATATTTCACTTTATTTTTTTTTGTTAATCAAAAGACAATTTTATTACTTCTGGTTTTTTCTATTATTTTATAAATTTTTCTATTTTTATAAAAGAGAATTTTGAGGATATTTTTTAAAATAAGAAAAAATTGAGTAAATATTTAATTAAATTTTAATTTTTTTTCCGTTAACCAAAAGACAATTCTATTACATAAGAAAATTGCTAAAAATGATTACAACGACACCGATAACAATGATTTATTGATAACTAATGTTATAACAAACATAACAACAAATACGATACCAAATAAATCAGATTCCGATGATAACAATAGTTTTGTGCCGATTAGCCGATCGCCGGACGATATGGTAACGTTGATAATGTCGAGCGGATCTACCGGCGCCCAGAAAGCTATAATTTGGACCAATCGTCAATGGCTGGCCTTTGCATCAATTAGACGCCATCCGGAATTGATGCCATCAACCGTTAACTATGACGACAATATCATATTAAGCAGACTGTACTGTCACGGGGCAGGTATACTAGTTTTGTTTCAATCGATAGTATTTGATTGGCAAATGGTTGTCATCAGTTATCCGCCAGACATTAGTTTAGCCCACGACTGGTTATTCAATATATTAAATAAATATAATGTTAGCTATTGTTTAGTTGTATCAAATGATTTAAGATATTTGTTGAACAATACAGACAAATATACTAAACAATATTTACAATCAGTCAGACACTACTATATTGTTGGCGAAAAGCTAAGCGATGAACTATACGATCGGATCAGACAGTTATATGGTTCAGAAAAGTTTAATATAACTTACAGTATGACCGAGTGTTTCATGATTACGACTAAACCTTTTAGTAGACAACATGTGTTGACATCGGCCGATAATATCGGTTGTGTTGTTCCCGGAATGGAAGTCAAAATTATCGATGAAAGTGGCAACAGTTTGCCGGCCAATCAAACGGGACAGTTGTGTGTACGCGGACCGACTGTAAGTGATAATTAATTAATTAATAAAAAATTACATCATTTTACAAAAATTTTATTTATTATTAATATTAATTTATTTTCTTAATATTTTTTAAAAATTATAGTGTTTTTGATTATATTATTGCTATATTACTATTAAAATATTAATTTCTTATTTATATTTATTATTATTATTATAAATAATTTAATTTATATCTTAGACTTTATGAAGTTATGAAAACTATATATTTATTTTATTTTATTTTTTAGTTAACATCAGGATATTATGGAAATAAAGATTTTTTCACAAAATTTTTAACAAACGATGGTTTCTTTATGTCCGGAGATTTGGGATATTATGATGAAAACGAATTCTTCTATTTTGTCGACCGAATCAAAGATATTATTAAGTTTTGTGGTTAAACTTAAATATTTTTTTATTTATATTTTATATTATTAATTTATATAGTTTAAACTTTAATTAATTAAATAATTTTATACTTTTATATTAAAATATTTTTTTATTTTATAATTTAATCAAATAATAATAATATTTATTAATTTTTTTATAGGAATACTTGTTAGAGAAAAGAGTTAGAGAATCAACTATTAACTCATCCGTCCGTCGAAAGGGCGGCCGTTATCGGTATCGATAGCCAACTGTACGGTCAGATACCCATGGCTTTTGTTACACTGAATACCGGTGCCATCGATAAGGACGAGGATATTCAACAGTATGTCGATAAACGAGTTGATACTAACAAACAATTGAGAGGTGGCTTAAAAATATTGGATAAAATGCCCTTGACCAGTTTTGGCAAAATTAATAAATCAAAATTAAAACAAATGTATATTCATTAAAATTTATTAGTAAAATTTGCATGTTCAGTTTATAGATTTATACAGTTTATATATCAATATATAGTTTATATATCAATATATAGTTTATATATCAATATATAGTTTATATATCAATATTTAGTTTATATATCAATATATAGTTTATATATCAATATATAGTTTATATATCAATATATAGTTTATATATCAATATATAGTTTATATATCAATATATAGTTTATATATCAATATATAGTTTATATATCAATATATAGTTTATATATCAATATATAGTTTATATATTAATGATATATTATTGTGTTAATCTATTATTGTTGTACTAATTATTGTCTAATTTTTTAGTTTTTTTCTAAATGTTAATTAATATTATATATAATTAGTAGTGTATTGATTTATAATTTTTTATACTCTATTAAATAGTTGTTATAATAGTTGCTAAAAAAAGTCAAATAGTTGTTAAAATAGTTATTTAAACTGTATTAAATAGTTGTATATAGTTGCCAAAAAAGCCAAATAGTTATTGAAATAGTTATTTATTTTCTTATAAATATTTCAACTGATATATAATTCACTTGTTTTCAGCATATTTACAAAAATGATTTATATAAATAAACTAATTATTTCTAATATTAAAAAAGTGATATGAGTTGATAACAGTTTACACATTTTATATAATTTATATAACTATTACTTTTTGTTTTTACATATATTTGTGGAATATTTTACAATTTAATGCTTATATTTTTCAAAATCAATGAAATAGTTATTTATAAGTTTTTATAGTTGCTAACCTAACAAATAGTTATTTATAGTTATAATAAAATTTCGGAAATAGCGTCCACTGGTCAAGTTCGGTGGACATACTAAGTCGCAGTTATAAGCGTTGAACCGACAAAATAATTTTTTTAGTTGGAAATCAAGACACTAATAATTAGTATATAATAAGTCTCACTAGAGACTTGTGTAATGTTTTTAATACCCACTTGTTTAATCCTGATACTATATATTTTTAATAAAAATTACTTTTATAAACAGCTAAAAAATAAAATAAAATATTATCATTAATTTTCTTTAACGTTATAACTAATTTATAATAATAAACTAACAAATAAAATTTGAATGTTAAGTTTATATATCAATATATAATTTGTTTGATATAATAAAAATAATAATAAGAAAACTAATAGTATTATTATTACTAATAATAAAGACATCTTTGTTTAAAAAACTTATTTTTATTTAATTTATTATTTAATATTATTGAATATTATTTAATAAATATTAATATTTAATAATTTGAAAATTTAAAAAAGTAAAAATAATAATAATTAATTAATAATATATTGGAAATCCTTAATGACTATAATATTTAAAATATATGGTTTAAAAAAATAAAATAAAAATGAAATGAAATATAAACCAGTTGAGAATGCTAGAAAGCATTTCCACACGAATTCCTAATCATAATTAAAAATTAAATTCAGTATGATAAAATAAAATCAACTAAAGTTATGTAGGGTATCAAACGATTTAGTATGACAAAATATACAACTATAGTCATGTGGGGTATCAAATGATTCAGTATTACAAAATAAACTACTATTTTCCTAAAAAATAAACTTAAAAACGAAAAAAATAAAAAAATCAATATTTAAAAAAAATTCAAAAAAATAAATTCAAAAAAAAATTCAAAATTTTTTTAATTAATTTTTGGACAACATTTTCTTCAATTTCCTAAAAAATAAACTTAAAAACGAAAAAAACAAAAAATCAATATTCAAAAAAAATCAAAAAAAAAATTCAAAATTTTTTTAATTAATTTTTGGACACAATTTTCTTCAATTTCCTAAAAAATAAACTTAAATAAGAAAAAAAACAAAAAAAAATTTCAAAAAAAAATTTGTAGCGGATAGTGGATTCGAACCTATGTCCTCGTGGGACAGACAGACCGACAGACCGACAGACCGACTTATAGAATGCATATACGTATTCCTTTCAGGAATTCGTGAAAATTATTATTATTATTATTTTAATAAAAATTGTTTTTTTTTTGTAAAACAGATATTATTATATGCATAATGTTTTTATATGCAAAATTTTAACTATCATTGTTTAAAAAGTTTAAAATCTTAAATAAATTACAAAATTTTACGAAATTGAAGTAATTATAAGTTTATTTACTATATTATTTAGTTGTTTTAGTTGTTTTAATAGTTTATATTAATGTAATCAAAAAATACTAAATCATTATATGACTATTCAATAATCAATTAACTAGTAATCGTTTTTTACTACATATAGGTATAATACTAATACTGAAATTAAATAAAAATTAATTTAAATATTATAATAATCATAATAATACAGTTGTATTGTTTAACTTATATAAATTAATTTTTTGTTAATAATTTTTTTTCGAAAATTAAAAAAAATCATTTTAAAACAAATTTCATTGAAATCTATATACTTTAGATAAAATTATTGAAAAAAATTATGCTATACTTAATTGTTTTAGTATTTATTATAATAATTTTATGTATATTAATAGTATATGAATATTATAGACGATTGCAATGGATGTCACAATTGAAACGAAACGGTATTTGCGGTCCAAAACCGCATCTAATTTATGGAAATTTATTTGATTTTAAATTTAAAAAATTATTTGAAACACAAAATTATTTGATCGCAAAATATGGAAAAATTGTCGGTTTCTATTACGGCGTCCAACCGATGGTATTGATTGCCGATCCGGACGTCGCAAAACAAATTTTGGTCAAAGATTTTCATTATTTTAGCGAAAGACCCGACTTTTTCTTCAGTTTCAACCGACCAGTAATGAACGGTTCACTAATTAAAAGTCGTGGTCAGCGCTGGAAACAGATCCGATCGGTAGTGACGCCGACATTCAGTTCAGCCAAACTGCGGACAATGACACCATTGATTGACGACTCGGTTAATACGTTTCTAAAACTGATTGACAAACAACAGTCGACTAATGGCGGAAACGATTTCAATATTTACAATCTGTTTCAGGGATTGACCGCCGATGTTATCGGTCGGACGGCATTCGGCTTACAAACAGACATTCAATTGGATTCGGACAACAAATTTATAAAAGCGGTTAAAAATAAGTTTAAATCGTTGAGTATTTTTGCCAAATGGCATACTTTGATTAGATATTGTTTTCCACAATTATATCGACTATTATATCCGTATCGACGTCTAGAAGAGCTAATCAATCATCGATTGTTGGGTCGATCGCCAACCGGTATACTCTTGGATATGTGTCAACTGGTTATCGATTTAAGAAAGTCTAACAAAAAACAAAACCGAAAAGATTTGTTACAATTGATGTTAGAAACGAAAATATCTGATCAACAGTTTAATTGTTTGAATGTCCAACAATTGACTGCCGGCGCTGGCACTGACCTACAAACAAATGGTGTCAATTGTGAAGATATAGTAGAATTGAAAACTAACTGTCAATCAAAAGAAGCCAAACATAATGACATTCAATTGACTGATGACGAAATCAAAGCTAATTGTGTTGTATTTTATGAGGCCGGGTATGAAACTACAAGTACTGCACTGGGATTTGTTGCACACATACTGATCAACAATCAGGATATTCAGGATAGGGTCCGACAGGAAGTCCGGGAATTGTATGAAACTGATGGTCGACTCGATTATAATACTGTGCCAAAACTCGAGTACATGGAGTGTGTAATCAATGAGACGATGCGTTTGTATCCACCGCTCATATCGTTTGTGGCCCGAGAGACCAACATTGACTACACGATCGGTACAAACATAACGATACCGAAAGGTACGGCCGTACAGTTTGCCACCTATTATATGCATCACGACCCGGACTATTGGCCCGAACCGGAAAAGTTTGATCCCGAAAGGTTCAGTTCGGGTGATAGTCGTCGGCATGAATGGCATCCGTACGCTTGGCAACCGTTCGGCAGTGGACCGCGTAATTGTGTTGGCATACGGTTGGCCTACTTTGAGATCAAACTATGTTTGGCTAAACTGTTGCTAAACTATCGACTAGAACCGGGACCGCGAACCGAAATCGGTAACATAACTGTTAAAACTAGTATAATATCTATGAATCCTAAACACGGAGTTTTTGTTAAAGCTATCAAATTATTTTAGTATTTATTAGTTTTAATTAATTTTATTATTTAATTAGTTTTTCAATACATTTTTTTTAATTATGTTTTTAATGAATGTTTTAATTTTCACAGAATATTGTTAAATATGTTTTGTTTTTAAAACTATTTAAAACCGTTAAAACTTGTTTTAGTAGATCTATATTTAGTAGATACTTTTAAGTTAAATTTGTTTAAGCTATTTAAATATATTATTATTAAATTAATTAAAATTTATAATAAAATATCTATTCAATTAATAAAAATAATAATGTTTAATAAATTTTTATTTTATTTATAATAACAACATTTTTTATTCATTACATTTAATTATAAATTAATTATTATTTACTAATATTTTTTTTGTAGTTTTTCAATATATAATTCAAAACAATATTTTGAATCCATTTTTTTACATTAGATTTAGTTATTTCCTTAATTAAAATTCTTATTACTCTTTAATAAAAAAAATATATCTAAAATTTTTATATTTTGATTTAAAATACTTATAAATTTAATTACTTTCTATCTATCAATAAAAATTGTTAATCAATAATACAGTATTTGTATATTTTATTTGTTTACTATTATATATAAATACTAAATATAAATAAATAAATATATGAATATTTATTTATTTATTATTTACTTTTACTATACATTTGTTTATTTCATTTATAAATTATACATATTTTACAGTTAACTTATTTATTACAATATTTTACCATTTATATAATATTTTCAATTTCTAAATATAAATATTTATTTAATTAATATTTACTTCATTTAGAAACTTTACTAATTATTATAATTATAATTAATACTAATATTTACTTAAACTTATAATAATTTAGTATAATATAATATGTTTGTAGTAATTTATATGTAGTATAAATATTATGTACTGTATATAAGCATATAATAAATGATTTTTAGTTTATAACTACAAATCATTTATGTTTATTTAAACTAAATATCTGCAATTTAATTAATGCATATCATTATATAAATATTGTTATTGTTACACAAATACACATACACACAAATACACGCACATACACACACATACACACAAATACACACACATACACACAAATACACGCACATACACACACATACACACACATACACGCACATACACGCACATACACGCTAATACACGCACATACACACACACATACACGCACATACACGCACATACACACACATACACGCACATACACACACATACACGCACATACACGCACATACACGCTAATACACGCACATACACACACATACACACACATACACACAAATACACACACATACACACAAATACACGCACATACACACACATACACACACATACACGCACATACACGCACATACACGCACATACACGCTAATACACGCACATACACACACACATACACGCACATACACACACATACACACACATACACACACATACACACACATACACGCACATACACACACATACACGCACATACACGCACATACACGCTAATACACGCACATACACACACATACACACACATACACACACATACACACACATACACACACATACACACAAATACACACACATACACACATATAGTTAAGCATTTTTAATATATTTTAATATTAAAAAATTATTAAAATTTAATTAATTAATTATTTACTAATTATTTTTTATTAAATAAATCTTTATATTAAATTATTATTCTTGATAATTCAACAACAAAATAATAATAAATAAATTTTTAATTAAAGCAAAAATTTAATAACAATTTCCCGAAATTCGTCATTAAATTCTTTATGAATATTATGACTTCCATTGGAAAACCGGTAGAGTTTTGAATCGATAATATTGTTTATCAAATAAAATGGATGTTCAATACCCATCACTGGATCTCTATCGCCATGAAGTATAAGTGTCGGCTGACGTATCTGTTTGATATCATTAGTACAAAAATCACTATAATTTACAATCGATTTGTTATATAGTTTAACATAATTTAGAAATAATTTTTCCGTATAATAATCGCTAAACGTTTTTCTGATTTTCGGATTCCAATTGTCCGCATCTTTAAGCATATCATACATTTGTCTGTCTTTATCGTTAACGTATGCTTTTGAGCCCCAGATTACTAGTTTTTGGACACTTAATGGTTGATTGGCGGCCAAAATCATTGCTGTTGTGCCACCGTCACTCCAGCCTAACAATGAATATTTATCGATAGCTAATGTCTATAATTAACAAACAAACAAAATTTAAGATTAAGTTACGATTTTTATAATAAAATTTATTAATAATTAGTATTTAATACCTGCATTAATTGGGCGGCAATTTTGGCGTCAGTTCGGAAAAAATCGGTAAAATTTTTTTCGGGCGGACTACTGTATCCATAGCCGGGCGGATCCCATGCAATCAGTGTAAACTTGTCCAACCATTTTGTATCAGTTAATTGTTTTGAAAAATCCAAACGTGAAGTACCTTTTTTTAAATAAAAAAAATAATAATTGACTAGTTTTTACTTAAGTTATTATTTTTTTTTAATTTATAGCAATTTTATTATTACCAAAAGCTCCGGGAAGTAATAGGACGGTATGATTGCCGTTACCGATGCGTTCATAATGTATTTGTAAGCCATTGACTGCTATTTTTTGTCCGGGCATTGAACTACTATTAAAACGTTTAAAGCTATATATATTAAAGGATAACAAATATATTTTAATTATTAATAATAGACTAAAATGTAAAATATAAATCAAATTAAGTTAAGTTAAAATCATAGCATTTTAATTTAATTTGAGATTTTTAAAAAAATAATTTTTAAGAATTTTTTTAAATATACTTTAAAGACATTGCAATTTGTTTTGTTGGTATAGTCGACGGCAATGATGATAAAAGTCTGTTAAATATCATTTTTAATTAACTAAAATAATTAATTAAAAACAATTTAATAATAAATATAAAATAAAACTATAATATATAATAATATTTGATTATTAAATAACTATAGTTTATTAGAAATAATTTTCATTTTAATTGTATACAAATTGCATTATCACTAAAACAATTTTATTTTTAAATTTATATCATTTTACATTTATTTGAACTAAATCTGAAAAATCATTTTATTATTATTAATTAATTTTAAGCAATAAATGAAAATAAAAACTAACATTAAATAAGTTTAATATTATTGGCTATAAAAAAAAAATCTCAATTACTAACCACTACATTGTAAAACATGACATACCCAGCGATCAGTTTGACTCTTACGTTGATAAATGGATTTTTGACGATCGCATCGGTATTGTTAGCCAATATTGTTGTCGACAGTCGATGTTAGACACGAAACAATTGGTACGATCGGCGGCCATACGCCAGACTCTACATGAGGTCAACCGTACCGAGTGTTTGACAATTCGCCAGCGATTTATATCAAATGAATGTCTGGAAGCCATTAATAAGTTTACCACAAAAAACAAAAAATAATAATAATAATAATTAAAATTAAATAAATCACAAATTAAATTTTTTAAAAAAACAATTAAAAATATTTTATAAATAATAACTATTGATAATAGAAAACATATTTTTTTATTAATTATTATTTCTAATATAAATGTTGTTTTTATTAATAATCAAATTTATTTAATATTTATTTTTAGGCTAAAATATTATTATTATTATTATTTAAATATTTTAATAATTATCCAAATTATTAATAAGAAGAAAAAAAATTACTTAATATATTATTTTATATTTATTATTATTAAATATATTGTTTTTGTTTTAATTATTTTAGTTAATAAAAATTGTCTTTAAAGTACATTAAAATAAATATGTTTTTAAATAAAATTATTAGAATTTTCTGTAAAAAGTAACTATTAGTAAATTAAGGTTTTTATATCAAATGATTTTGATTTTATTTGATATTATTAAATAAAAATTGTTATTTTTTTAATTTGATAGATTAAAAGTAATTGAATTTATCAGTTTTTTTAAATCAAAATAAAAGCAGTCAAAGTGTATATATATTTTATAAATATTTTTTTGTATTATAGAATAATAAGAATTTTAATTAAATGTTTTTTTTGTGTAAATTTTGTGTAAAAATTTGTATAAATAATTTTAAAGTTTAATTTTTGGACAATTATTTTCTGTTTATTATTTATTATAAATCTAATCAGTAATTAAACATTAATACAAATATTATTATTATTTAAGCAATTGTTTATTTTTTGTAAATTTTTGAATTTTTGAATATTATTTCAAACTAAAAAAATACAATCTAATGACTCATTAGCAATGAGTTAAATAATTAAAGATTTTTTAGTAAAAACATTTTGAAATAATATTATTGCAAAAATTATGTAAATATTAGTTTAGTTTGTTAAACAACTATACTTTAATTATTAATATATGATTTGTAATAATATAAACTAAAAAATACTGTATATTTCCAATAGTTGTGTTATTTGATTATAATATAATTTATAAAGTTTATAAGCATTTAATTGATATTATATTATTAATTATTTCTAAAATCATATTTAATGTGTTTTTTTCAAAAATTCAAAATTATTAGAGAAACAATAAATATGTTTTTCAAACAACAAATTGAAATAAGTTAAGAGTCATAATAAAAATTATTACAAAAAAAAATCAATGAAATAATTGCATTATATTTGTCTATTACAATGACTTTAATGATTTTATTTTAATTGTCAACTAATTTTCATTTCTAAAACAATATTTTAAAACAATTGAACTTTTTTTCTTAAAATGATTTTTACTGTTTATGATTTGCATTAATAATAATAATTTTTTAATAATTATGTTTTTAAATTAAGAAAATAATACAAATGAGTTATAATATAATATTTATCTAAAAAAAATTTAGTTTAACAAATAAATTTATAGTAAAAATTGTTTAAATTATAATCAAATATTATATTTTTTTATAATCAATATTTTTTATTTTGCATATTATAGTCTTATAACTACAGTATAGCTCACAGATTCAATACAATTAGTATTTAATTAAATTTTGACAATTTTAACAAACACTCCGTTTTTGGGAACCATTGAAATTAGTTTAGTTTCGCGAACAATGTCTCCCAATTCGGTTCGCGGTCCCGGTTCCAGTCGGTAATTGATCAACAATTTAGCCAAACATAGTTTCATCTCAAAGTAGGCCAACCGTAAGCCAACACAACTTCGGGGTCCGTTTCCAAATGTTTGCCACGAATATGGATGCCATTCATGACGACGACCCGAACTGAACCTTTCGGGATCAAACTTTTCCGGTTCGGGCCAATAGTCTGGATCTCTATGCATATAATAGTTGGCAAACTGTATGACCGTACCTTTCGGTATAGTTATGTTGTCGTACGTGTAGTCAGCGTTGGCTTCACGGGTAGCAAAGGCTACACTCGGCGGATACAAACGCATCGTCTCATTGATTACACACTCCATGTACTCGAGTTTTGATAGAGTATTGTAATCCAGTCGACCATCACTTGCATACAGTTCCCTGACTTCCTGTCGGACCCTTTCCTGAATATCGGGATAGTTGACCAGTATGTGTGCGACAAACCCGAGTGTTATACTAGCATTTCGATAGCCGGCTATATAAAAGAAGATACAGTTTCCCTGAATCTCGTAATCGGTTAGTTTGATTGACTGTTTATTGTCGTTGATATCATCTATTGTTTTAGTATTATTATCAACATTATTGTCAAACATCGACTGTAATATATCCGTATGTTTTGTATTTATTGATGCGTTTTTTCTCAAATCAATAATCTCTTTAGTTATGTCTATTAGTTGGCCGTTTGCCGACCGATTCATTAGGCAATCGATTTGGTCGTCCAGACGACTAAATTGATTGAATAATGGACTGAATCGGGGAAAACAAAAACTTAAAATTCTGTACCATTTGCTATACGGATGCGAATTAAACAATAGATTCATTGCGTCAAGAAATTTGCTGTCCGTCGCTGTCTGGACATTGGTCTGGACGCCGAAAGCTGTCCGTGCGGTCAGATCGGCAGTCAATCGTTTGAACAGTTCATAGATATCGAAATCGTTGTCGTCTTTGTTTTGTTGGTTTTTGGCCAATATATCCAAAAACGTATCGATTGACGAATCAATCAGTTCATAGAGTTTTCTTAGTTTAGATCCGCTAAACATCGGCGACAATACCGATCGTAAATCTCTCCATCGTTGGCCACATTTCAGATGTACGGATCCGTCAATGATTGGATGTGTAATAATTTTTAGCGATAAAGTCCGGTCATTGAAATACTGGAAGTCTTTGATTTGGATATGTTTGGCCAGTTCGGGATCGGCCACCAGTACTACGGGTTTACAACCGTAATACAGGCCAACAGTTTTACCGTATTTGCCAATTAAATAGTCTTTCTGTTCCAGTGATGACATACCCTTGAAGTCGAATAGATTGCCGAAAATCAGATGCGGTTTTGGACCCGAAATACCGTTTCGCTTCAATACAGACATACATTGCAATCGACGATAATATTGATATAATATAAATAATAATATAGAGAAAAATATTATTAATAATAATAATAAAGACATTATATCTTATTTTAAAAACTCTACTTTAAACTAGAAAATGATTTTTTTTTTAATTTATAAAGAAATAATTTCAAATGATTTTTTTAAGCTCTACTAATACTTAAAATAATTTTTATATTTTAAAATTTTTATAAAGAAATAACTTTTTTTTCTATATAAATTAAACTAAAAAATTGTGATTTTTTTTTAAAAATAATTTTTCTTATTTCACTAATGATTTTTCATTTATTACATTTTTTTTATTAATCTCTACTACGGGAGTGGTTTACATATTACGTTTGCACTGAGGGGAGGGGTGGGGGTTGGCCAAAGGGAACGTTTTCGAACGAATAGTACTTAAACAAATAAATGATTAAATACTTTTCAACACAGGGAGGGAGGGAGGTTTTCTTAAAAAGTGCAAAGGTAATATGTGACTGGCCCCTAACCACTTTTTTTTAAAAAATTATCGTCAATTATTTAGCAATAATATTTTTTGTTATTGTTTAATAAAAATGATATTGATAAAAAATTTTAGTTTAGTTTGCTATTTACTATTAAAAACACAAATCATTAAATAAATAAAAAATATTAAAATCTGTTTCTCTCTCTCTCTCTCTCTCTCTCTCTCTTGCATTTCAAGTCTCTTAACTCTAAACTAATGTTTTATTGTTTGAATTGATTAAATTGAAATTTATTAAAAATATGATTAAAATTGTTGTTTAGAAAAAATTGATAAATTATGAAATTATCTATAAATTATATAATATAGTAATATTATCTATTAAATACATTATTAAATTATAATTTATATTATTTTAATATTAAATAAAAAATTAATATTTATTTTTCTATCAAATCAATAGCAGAAGAAAACATTTAATTTAAATTGAATTATAATATAAATTATTTATTAATTTTTATTACTTTAATAGTTTATACAGTAATTTTTGGCCCAAAATATCGTATAAGCGATAGTATAGTTGAAACCGTAAGTTACCGATAGGTTCGTAATTATTGAGGGGAACGGTATTCATGATGGCATCGATCATATCGTTGATCACTATATAGGGATCAGTTGCCAGAAATGGGTTGCAGTCTAACTGCAAAAGAACCACACGTTTCCATTGTTCATAGTATTGCTGTCCGTACGCCGATTTGACCGACTCGTCAGTGGTCAGCCAAACGGTGTCCATCGCTGCAATTGTTTTCGACAATAGTCCAGTATTTTTGAAACCTCCCGGCATTATAGTGGCCACCCGTACGCCAAACGTTTGCATTTCTTTTCTCAACGAATCGGAAAACCTGATTATCGATGCTTTTGACATACAATAGGCACTGAAGTAGTCGAGGGTTAGTCTACCCATTGTTGACGACATGTTTACAACACGACCTGAAATAAAACATCAATTATTTGTTACAGATTTTAATTAAACTTTTTTTTTGTTAACCTTTTGCTGACCGTAATAACGGTAAGAATATACGTGTGACCCGAACCAGACCAAACACGTTGACCGCAAACAGCCGTTCGTAGTCATCCAATGTTCCCCATTCGACGGGACTGGTAATCATATAGCCGGCATTGTTGACCACTGACCATAATTTACAATTGTTGGCCACCAGATCTTCGGTAATCTGATTGAACGCTTCGTGTACTTCTCGATCGTCGGTAACATTCATTTTCAGGACAACCATTTGATCGGTAAATCTACACGTTTTGGCCAATCTTTGTCCACCGCAATCCGTGCTCGTGTTCGGGTCAAGACATGCGGCGTAAACACGAAATCCTCGTTCATTCAGACTATAGGCCAATAGATTACCGAAACCTGAATCGCAACCTATATTTTACAATTGAATTAATTTACATAAGAAATAGTTAACTAAATAGTTATAAAAATTTTTAGTACATTGAAAATCTTTTTATAAAATATAATTAAATTAAATATTTTCATAAATTAATTAATTAATTAATTACCTGTAATAAGTACTGCTTTTCCATTTGGACTAATTAATTGTTTTGGTCTAAAATAATAAAATAATTTTACTAATATATAGCTGATAATAATTATTAACAAACAATTAACAGCATTTAATTGATTATTAATTATTTCAAAAATCATATTTAATATTTTTTTCACCAAAAAAAACAATATAATTCAAAAATTATTAGAGAAACTAAATAAATATTATGTTATTTTTCAAACAATAAATTGAAAATAAGTTAATAGTCATAATAAAAATTATTAAAAAAAATCAATAAAATAATTGCATTGTATTTGTCTATTACAATGACTTTAATGATTTTAGTTTAATTGCTAACTAATATTTTTAATTGTATTTTTAAAAAAATAATAATTTTGTTTGCAATTAACATATGTTTTATAGATATAAAATATAACAACTAATTATCAAAATTAGTAAAATTAATTTGTTTTAAATGATTAAAATAAGTATTAAAAAACATTTTTGCATTAAATTGATTATTAATTATTTCTAAAAATTATAATAAATATCTTTTTAAATTGTTTAGTAAATTATAAAAGATAAACAGTTTATAATAATAATAAATATATTTAATTATTATTTAAATATTAAATATAATTGTATTTTTGAACACAAATAATTTAATAGTCATTAAAAATAATATTTGTAATTTAAAAATTATTTTTATTTTAATAACAAACTAAAACTACTGTAAAATTTTAGTATATAATTAATAATTGTATTTTTTTAAAAAATATTTTTATTGAAATAACTTATTTTTATTTATATATTATTTTACTTTTTTAAAATTTAGTATAAATAATCATAATTAACTTCTAATTTATATATATATATATATTTCAATACCAGTATTAATAATTTTATGTTAGTTTTATAATATTTTTTTTAGAGAGAGAGAGAGAAAGAAAGAAAGAGAGAGAGAGAGAGAGAGAGAGAGAGAGAGAATATATTTTTATTATAAAATAAAATTATTTATAATAAAATTAATTAATTTTTATTTAATTGTTAAACAATTATACTTTTACTGTATTATTATTATATGATTTGTAATAATATAAACTAATAAAAATATGTTTGCAATAGTTGTGTTATTTGATTATAATATAATTTTTTAAAAAGTTTATTTAAATCATTATGTTTATTTAAACAACTATATATCTATTAAAAAAAATCTTATATCATTATAAAATTTTTTTTTGTAATAATCATCATTAATTAATAAAAGCATAAATACTAAAGTAAATTATAAAAATAAATTCATTAATTATACTGTAGTAGTTTAAATAACTTTAACTACAAAATCAAATTTAATAAAAATTGAATAATGAATAGTTTAGTTATTCGTATATACATTATATATATATAGTATATATACAGTAATGATTTTAGTTTAATTGCTAACTAATATTTTTAATTGTATTTTTTTTAAAAAATAATAATTTTGTTTGCAATTAAATCATGTTTTTTAGATATAAAATATAACAACTAATTATCAAAATAAATTTTTTAATAAAAAAAATGATGAAAATAAATACAGTATTAACAAATATTTTAGCATTAAATTGATTATTAATTATTTCTAGAATTATAATTAATATTTTTTTAAAAATTATTATTGTTTAGTAAATTATAAGAGAGAAACAGTTTATAATAATAATAAATATATTTAATTATTATTTAGAAATTATATATAATTTTTTATAAATGAAAGTCAAATATAATTTTCAAATCTATTTGTTTATAATTTTTTAGATTGAAAATAATTTTAATGTATTTTTTTTAAAAAAAATTGAACTAAATTAGAAAATTAATTGAACTTTAATTATCTAAATCAAAATGTTTTTTTTACTCTTTATGTTTTGCATTAAAATAATACTTTTCAATAATTATTTTTTTTAAATTAAGAAAATTAATAGAATATAATATTTATCTAAAAATGATTTTACAGTTTTAGTTAAACAAATAAATTTATAGTAAATAAAAAAATTGTTTAAATTTTATAATCAATATTTTTATTTTTTATTTTAAAAAATATTAATCAAAGTCATCTATTGTCTTATAACTACAGTATAGCTGTACAGATTCAATACAAAATCATAGATTCAGACACTATTTTTTTTAGCTAACTGTGTAAACTAAGGGATAGGTAATCGACTTTGATATACATGCCTATAAAGTTGTTTCACACATACACACACACACACACACAAACATACACACAAACATACACACAGTAATGCATAAATTATATATAATTTTTTTAAAAAAATATTTTGAATATACACTATATAAAACAATTAACAATTTGATAGATTATCTCTCTCTCTCTCTCTCTCTCAAAAATAAAGTTATCTATAAAATCATCTTTATTATTGTTTTCAATTAACAATACATAAGATTACAAGTAATTATTTTGCAAATTATTTTATGTCTTAATTACTTTATTTCAAAAAAAAATAAAAGAAAAATCAGAAAATTGAATTGAATTTATAAATTCAATTGTCTATCCATTTCATCTCCTGTTTCCATAGCAACTCCAGTCCCGTTCCCATCCATTTATTGGCCATTTTTTCATCAATTAAATCGCTTTCCTCTTTAGTTAAATACTGGCGCCAATTGCCTACAACTCCTCTATCAATACGATAACCGGATCCATACTTTGATTTCATTAAATCAATTGATGACAATCGGACACATCTGTCCAATAGTGTCTCAGATTTGATGCCAACGTTGTCGTCGTCGTCGTCGTCGTCACCACTGTTTGTCACTACAATCTGATCCAAACGGGAGACGTACTGATGGCCCAAAAAAGTTGCAATTTTAACGACCGCTGCCTTCGGATCGCTTATCATATCTTCGTAGATCAAGACATGAAACTTGTTATCCGACAAACCATTATTGGTCGACAAACTTTGCCGATAATATTGGCCAACAAAATCAAAATAGTCGCCATAATAGTGTCGATATTGTTGACCATAAAAACAGTACCGAAAATATTGATGATAATCGGCAAACAATTTCTGATGGTTTGAATGGATTTGAGACCAAATTTTATTTTCCGAAACACTAACGTCTTTCGGATTTCTGATGACCAACAGATAACTGGCCAATGAATTCACGGTTAATAAATCTGGCGGTAAATGTGTTGATATTACTGTCACCGACTGATCCATTTGGCTATCGATTACTTGTTTGCCCGACATTTCTATCCGATGTTTATAAATTGCAATTTTATCCAAATTTTGTCCATCGCTTATAATTAATTGCATAATATATTCCGTCCAATTACTACCCGATCGGGGATATGATATTAGTATGCGATCGTTGGGCCGGTGCTTATAATTCAGGGCCCAATCGATATTGTTTTTGTCGACAAGAAATTTAGGAAAATCGTATCCATTAATAGTAAACTTGTCGTAATAGGTTGTCATTACAGTGTATATATCATATAATAGTTATTATTATTTTTTTTTGTATAGTTTAGGACTTATTTAGTAATAATATAAAGTTTAATATAAAAATAATTGAAAAATTTTATTTATATTGTATTGTAGAGAAAGAGAGAGAGAGAGAGAGAGAGAGAGAGAGAGAAATGATTTTTGATAATAATAATATAAAATTGTAATATATATTCAATATATATATATATGTTAGATGATTAAACTATAATTTTTAATTTATAACAATCATTATATTTACTTAATAACTAAATTTTAGTTAATAATTAGTTTATGTCATTCAATAAATTTCTAAAAATCAATTTTATTTACATAATTTGCTGTAAGTTTTAATTTAAGGTTTTAAATTTAGTTTTAATAGTTTTAAAAAAATCTTTTTTACTATAATTGCATTAAATATATCGAGCTTTGATATAATTTTTTTTATATTGATTATAATATATTTATTTTCATTTTTTTAAAATTCATAATTAAATAGTTAATAAATAATATAATTATGTTTGTAGTTAAAAATTCATTTATTATTTTATTAATTAGTTTATATAAAAAATTAAGTAAATAAAATTGATTTTTAGAAATTTACTGAATGACATAAACTAATTATTAACTAAAATTTAGTTATTAAGTAAATATAATGATTGTTATAAATTAAAAATTTCTCTCTCTCTCTCTCTCTCTCTCTCTCTCTCTCTCTCTCTCTCTCTCTCTCTCTCTCTCTCATTATTTGCCATTAAAAATGAAATCTGAGTTTTTCATTGTTTATTTAATTACTAATCAAAGAGTTTATTATTATTTAATTTAATTTATTTATTTATTTAATCAATTAAATGACAATTAAATAATCACGAAGTTAACTAAAAATTAATATACATTTCTATTGTTATAATATTAAATAAATTGAGTTTTATTTTGTAAATTACTAAAAATTATTTGAAACAATAATTTTTTTATAAAAAAATGCTTTACTTAATTGTATTAATTTTTTTGATTTTAATTTGTATATCAATAGTATATGAATATTATAGACGATTGCAATGGATGTCACAATTGAAACGAAACGGTATTTGCGGTCCAAAACCGCATCTAATTTATGGAAATTTATTTGATTTTAAATTTAGAAAATTATTTGAAACACAAAATTATTTGATCGCAAAATACGGCAAAATTGTCGGTTTCTATTACGGCGTCCAACCGATGGTATTGATTGCCGATCCGGACGTCGCAAAACAAATTTTGGTCAAAGATTTCCAGTATTTTAGCGAAAGACCCGACTTTTTCTTCAGTTTCAACCGACCAGTAATGAACGGTTCACTAATTAAAAGTCGTGGTCAGCGCTGGAAACAGATCCGATCGGTAGTGACGCCGACATTCAGTTCAGCCAAACTGCGGACAATGACACCATTGATTGACGACTCGGTTAATATGTTTTTAAAACTGGTTGACAAACAACAGTCGACTAACGGCGGAAACGATTTCAATATTTACAATCTGTTTCAGGGATTGACCGCCGATGTTATCGGCCGGACAGCGTTCGGCATACAAACAGACATCCAATTGGATTCGGACAACAAATTTATAAAAGCTGTCAAAAATAAGCTCAAATCGTTGAGTTTTTTTGCCAAATGGCATACTTTGATTAGATATTGTTTTCCACAATTATATCGACTATTATATCCGTATCGACGTCTAGAAGAGCTAATCAATCATCGATTGTTGGGTCGATCGCCAACCGGTATACTCTTGGATATGTGTCAACAGGTTATCGATTTAAGAAAGTCTAACAAAAAACAAAACCGAAAAGATTTGTTACAATTGATGTTAGAGACGAAACTATCTGACCAACACTTTACTGGTTTGAATGTCCAACAATTGACTGCCGGCGCTGGCACTGACCTACAAACAAATGGTGTCAATTGTGAAGTTAAAGTAGAATTGAAAACTAACTGTCAATCAAAAGAAGTCAAACATAATGACATTCAATTGACTGATGACGAAATCAAAGCTAATTGTGTTGTATTTTATGAGGCCGGGTATGAAACTACAAGTACTGCACTGGGATTTGTTGCACACATACTGGTCAACAATCAGGATATTCAGGATAGGGTCCGACAGGAAGTCCGGAAATTGTATGAAACTGATGGTCGACTCGATTATAATACTGTTTCAAAACTCGAGTACATGGAGTGTGTAATCAATGAGACGATGCGTTTGTATCCACCGCTCATATCGTTTGTGGCCCGAGAGACCAACGCTGACTATCCGATCGGTACAAACATAACGATACCGAAAGGTACGGCCGTACAGTTTGCCACCTATTATATGCATCACGACCCGGACTATTGGCCCGAACCGGAAAAGTTTGATCCCGAAAGGTTCAGTTCGGGTGATAGTCGTCGGCATCCGTACTCTTGGCAACCGTTCGGCAGTGGACCGCGTAATTGTGTTGGCATACGGTTGGCCTACTTTGAGATCAAACTATGTTTGGCTAAACTGTTGTTTAACTATCGACTGGAACCGGGACCCCGAACCGAATTGGGTAACATAACTGTTAAAACTAGAATAATATCTATGAATCCTAAAAACGGCGTTTTTCTTAAAGCTATTAAATTATTTTAGTATTTATTATTTAGTTTTTCAATATTGATATTTTTTAATAATGTTTTTAATGTATTTATTTAATTTTTATTTTAAATATGTTTTGTTTATCTATACTAATATCTATTTAATTAATTTGATAAAAAAGTATTGTTTAATAAAACATAAAAAACATGTTTAATACCTGTATATCTGTAAACATATAATCAATTATTTTTTATATTGTATCAATTATACTGTATCAAATAGTTGTTTAAAATCGCCAAATAATTATTTAAATAGTTATTTATTTATTTTTTAATAATTGAATGATAAAATAAAATTTTTATTATTAGAAAATTTTAGAAAATTTATAAAATTATTTTTTAAAAATCAGGCGTTTTTCACTTAAAATATTTTTTAATTTAGAAAACCTCTCAATAGTTATTTATTTATTTATTTTTTAATTATTTGCAAATGATATATGATTCATGTTTTCAGTATATTTACAAATTATGCAAATTAGCGAAATAATAATAAACAAAAATAAAATAATAATATGAATTTTTAAAATAACATTTAAAAGTTATTTATAATTTTTGTAATTAATGTTTTGTAATTTTAAATATAATATCTGTGTAATATATATAATGCATATATATATATTTTTTTTTTAAATTAATTGAAATAGTTATTTTTATTAGTTTTTATAGTTACTAACCCATCAAATAGTTATTTATAGTTATAATATTATATCTCTTGACTATATTAACTAAAAAAAATTGACGAAATTAACTATATCTGGAAAAAAAACCAATTACTATATATTATTATTATATAAAAAAAATTTATAATAATCATCATTAATGAATTTATTTTTATAATTTACTTTTGTATTTATGCTTTTTATTTTATCCCCCATATAAACTATATGGGATTTTACAAAAACAAAATTAATTAATAATGATTATTACAATTTTTTTTTATAATTATAATATACAGTAATTGTTTTTTTCAAACATTTAATGATAAACTTTATAAAATTATATTATAATCTAATAACACAACTATTGATACAACATATTTTTTTATTTATATTATTACAAATCATATATTAATAATTAAAGTATAGTTGTTTGATGTTTAATAATTAAAAAAAAAATAATTAATTAACTTTATTAAAAATTATTTTATTTTATAATAAAAACATAATATAAGTACAAAACTAACATAATATTACTAAATACTGGTATTGATATATTTGATTTAATTTTATTTTATCAAAATAATAAATAATGTAATAATTAATAATAAAAATTTTAATAATTTAATAATTTTTTTAAATAGTTTTTTTTAATAAAAACTACAAAATCAAATTTAATAAAAATATTTATTATCAATAACAATATTATTTTTATTGAAAATTTTTATGAATATTTAATGAAAATCATATTACAGTATTATAATTTATAAAACATATTTTCAAACAAACAAATATTCAGTATTTAAAAAAAATTATAATAAACAAAACTTATTTTAATATATATTATTATATAAATAAATTTATTTATGAAACAAACAAATTATGAGAAAATAAAATATATATAAATATAAATAAACAAAACTTTTTTTTGATAGAGATTTAAATATATATATAAAAAATAATGAATTTTGAAATCAATTAAAAAAACAATAGATATTAATAAAACTTTATCAATGACTTAATGGACAGTTGGTTATCGTTAATCGTCAATTAGTAAACTGCTTAATCATTTGATAATCGGCTCCGGTATCCACCAAACTTTTAGTGCACTATCGTAGCAGTCAATAGTCAGCAATAGTTCAATTGACGGCAATCGGCTAACAATTTGCGGACACCGTCGGGAATCGCCGATAACATTTGAACCTAAATTTACCGAATAGTTTAGTGTTTTTTTTTTAGTGAACGAGGCATCAGTTGGCCACAGTTGCTGACCAACAGTGGCCACAGTTTCGAAGTCAATGTCGGTAAATGTAAGCGGTATTCAAGTTTCGGTAGATTTTGCCGAAAATGTTGTTCGACCAAACAGTCGGTAATTGTAAACTGGATTTAAAATTTACGGATTATTATAAAAAAAAAAAAATTATATTTAAAAAAAATTAAATTAAGTTTTTTTAAAAATAAAAATATGTGGCACATAGATGGCGCATACTTATTCATAAAATAATATAATACACAAAATTTACCATTATCCAAATTATCCAAGTTAATATTTAAACTTATATTTAGACAATTTAATTTAATAAACAGATGAAATTTTTTTTAACTTTTTTTTTAATAACTAGAAACTATCTAGGTCATATTACTAGAAAAACTATTTTAATATATATATATATATATTGAAATTATTTCAAATTGA